AAAAACAACAGATTTTTACATGTATTTTTATTTAATCAAATACATTAAAACCAATAACAACTGAGACTTTCCTTTAATATATATGCTGGTTCAAACACTAAATAACGTTTATAAATCATAGTCGTCTTCTATTATTATCAAATAAATAAAAGAGAGCAAAGTTTCTAGCACTAAAATAATGACCACCACAGGAAGTTAATTTGAAACGCGATTTTTTATAAGTTAGCAGCTATTATCATGCATATTCAGAGTTGTTTTGTGAACTTTCAACATTCTACTATTAAACTACAAAAAATGGAAGATTTTGCAACGAATATAAAACTTATATTGAGCGTCGAAAGATTTTCCCGGTTTTTTCCCGATTCGCCTGTCAATCCCTAATCGCCCCATTTTACCGGTATACATTTTTATTTTCATGAACAATCCGAAATTCGAATTCAATAAACTTTTTTGTGGCCAGCATTCTAAAAGAAAAGTTTTTACTGTGTGACAATACTTATGACCTGACTAGTTATAACAAAACTTAAGTTGTAAATTGTAATAAAATCTAAATAAAGTATAAGAATATATACCTAATTGAAACAATCAATGTCATTACTAATATTATTTTGGTTGTAATTTTATTAAATGTTCCATCTTGCTTGTATGGTTAAATTACATTTGGTATCAGGTTGGGAAACCTCATCATGAAGTAGTAAATATTAGCAAACCTGACAGACCTTTTGTCTATACACACATCTTATATCTAAAAAATTCCAAGGTTTTTGAATAAGTTATAACAATCTGGACGGTTTTGAGTAATAAAAAAAGTTATTACAATACCAAATTATGAATCTAAGCCATTGTCAAATTCTCTGGAACACGCACAAAAAATTTCATCAAAATTGGTCCAGTCACTTAGGATGAGTTCACTAACATACACATGGACAGAAGAATGAAAATATAAAGATTGTTAAACATTTTTGTTTTACAGTAAATATGAAGAAGTATATCCACCAGAAGTCTCAGAATTTGTGTACATCACTGACGACACATACACAAAACGTGAAGTACTGAGAATGGAGCATTTAATTTTAAAGGTGTTATCATTTGATCTCTCAACACCCACCTCACTAGCTTTCCTGTCACATTACTGTATTTCTAATGGTCTCTCAAAGAAGACATTCCATTTGGCATCTGTGAGTATAAACTTATTCAAACAAATAACAATAAATGAAATCTCTTAATGCTGAAATAATAAAAGCATCAATTTTTTTTAATATATTATTATTATTTTTTTATTGCCTAGATGTGTGGACGAGCTCACAGCCCACCTGGTGTTAAGTGGTTACTGGAACCCATAGACATAAATGCGCCACACACCTTGAGATATAAGTTCTAAGGTCTCAGTATAGTTACAACGGCTGCCCCACCCTTCAAACCGAAACGCATTACTGCTTCACAGCAGAAATAGGATTTAATATTCAGAATCATATCAAATGTACAGTATATTGTTTTATATCAAATGTAAAATTTAATTTCAGTATATTGCGGAGCTGTGCTTACTTGAAGCAGACCCATATCTTCAATTCAAACCCTCAGTAATAGCAGCGTCGGCGCTGGCAACAGCTCGGCATTGCTTACTATGCGAGCAGTGCGCCTGTGATCCTCAGGACGTATACGAAACTAGAGACGCTCCGGGCAAGGTCAACCCGCAATGTGCAATGGTCGCGTGGCCGTCTACGTTGTCCACGTGTTCGGGATACACTTTACTTGAATTGGAAACATGCCTTAAAGAAATTGCTCGTACACATTCCCATGCCTCTGTTCAACCTTATCAAGCCATACCAGACAAATATAAGAGCAACAAGTGAGTAGTAGTAATCGTTCAGAACATATTTCGAAAGTAAGTTTTTTTATTGCACGAATGAACGAAATCATAGCCCTTATAGACATCACGACGTCAATGCTGTTGACACATTGAGATATGAGTTTGTCAGTATCATTCAAACTGGAAGGCATCACTGCTCTATGGCTGATATTACTAAGATGGTGGTACCCACCATTGTCAGCTTACGATACCCCTTCCACCACTAAATCAGTTCAGCTAATGATTATTTTAAATCTGTGTATTAGACATAGACATAAATTTAGATTGATTTGTAATAAATGGTCAATAGGGATGTTGAGACAAATTAATAAGCCAAACAGCTATATCTAATATTACATATAATACTATATAATATATACATCCATATATGCAAAGAGAAAGTCGATTGTGAATCGATTCCGAAGTGACTATTTAAAAGCATTCCTATAACAGCCTTACGCCTTAAATTGTATGTTTGTAACTCTTGTTCTTCAGGTTTGAAGGCGTGTCACAAGTAGAGCCGCGGCCCATGTTCCCGGTGGGCAAGTACCAAGCCCCGGCCGCCGCCCGCCCGCCCCCAGCGGCCGACTCTGCGCGCGCCACCAGCTAGGGTCACTGTACAACCACACGAAATGACATTACGGCTCCAGGCTTTGAGACCGCATATCCGACATCCTTGGCCATGGCTAAAAATAATATAAAGAACCCGTCTTGAGATAAAAGACGGTGCGAGCTTAAAAAAATAGTAAATTCAATTAACCGCCTCATTTACTTTCATAGGCCAGTCAACGGGCAAAGACTTATATGCATTTGTATATGAAAATGTATTTTCGGACTCCTGCATTTGTTTTATGGTTGGAACGGAGTATGAGACAAGTGTCAAATTGACATTTTAAATATCGAATTACGCTGTTGTATACATGCTCAATTCCCGATTTACTTAATTCAAAAGACGAAAAATATTAACTTTAGTAAGTTTTTATTAGATTACATCATAATGTTAATTGAGAATTGGATATTGCAACTACCCGTAAGTATACAGAACTATGGTGAGTTACTCTTTCATTATATAATTGTCTTTAATCTCTGTAAGTTTTGTTCTGTTTACACGGAGCCATTACGTACTGTTGATCGTAGTCGACTGTTCGAAATACTTGCCTGAAGTCCAAGCGAGCAACTCAAATTTAGTAATGTTTTAAAAATATCTAATTACAATTGGTTGTTCCTCATAATATCTACAAAGCAAATTGAATCTCAATCAACAAACGTCAATTGATTGGTAATAATTGGCTCTATTGGGCGTCCTCTGCAATAATTATCATAAATATATATAAAAGGAATTGCTGGTTGTCGGATTTGACTATTTTCAGTCTTAAAACTGTTCGTATTAATCCAAATAAGGATCTTAGAAAATAAATATGGAATTATACAGAACATCAGGGTAGGGTAGTATTTCATAGACTTTGCTTAGAATATTTTGTTGATTAACTTTTTTTTATCTGAATAGTTATGTTCAAAATCTAAATAAATTTAAATGAAAAATTTCGATTTCTTTATAACATTATTTACTTCGTCCAAGCTTTTGAAACATGTGTTGTAGTTGTCAATGATTTGTTTCAGCAGAAAACGTGTTCCATGACTGCGATTTGTATTTTTCGCCTTTATTGTAGTTTCAAACTGGATTTGACTCGTGATTGTACTTTAACTGTAATTTAATTTATAATTTAAAAAGAATTATCGCCTCTTAGGAAATTTTTTAAACTAATAAAATAGGTGACGTCATTGTATGTTTCAAAAATGTATTTTCATTCATACCAGTCTTGCCTCCTCTTCGCGCTTTTGAATTGAAAATCTGTTTAGGTCAAGTCTAGGTAACTAAAGGTGTATTAAGTTCAGATTTAAAGTCTAGGGCATATACCGTATTATCTGTCAATCAGTATTCGACTAGAACAATAAAATGTATTCACAGATTTGACCGAAGATGGTCAAGTGAATCGCACTGGCGTTAAGACGATTCCGATAGTTTCTTGCGTCTGGTAATTATTACCTGTGTGCGTGGATTATTGCGCGAAGACAATTTCGTAAAAACATGACACGCATACGAACTGGTGTAGGTTCTTCAGAAAGCTGATATTGATCCACCGGTGACGTCATTGCTGATAGTATCAGGATACTATTGACAGGATACTATCAGCATGATATCTAATCAGGATAAAGTTGAAGTCAAAAGTTCTTTTTTTATTGCATAGATGGGTGGACGAGCTCACAGTCCACCTGATTTTAACTGAACCTGAACCCATAGACATCTACAACGTAAATGCCGCTACCCACCTTGAGATATGAGTTCTAAGGTCTCAGTATAGTTACCGCAGTTGCCCCACCCTTCATACCGCATTACTGCTTCACGGCAGAAATAGGCAGGGTGATGGTACCTACCCATGCGGATTCACTAAAGGCCTTACCACCAATCGACTTTAGTTTAGTCGTTCTTTAGTTTCATCAAAAATAGCATTTTAGTATTCGACTATGACAGTCACAGTCTAAGGAATCGAGTAGCCATTACGGTCCACAGTGCGTAATGTCTAATTTTTAGACATGAGATGCTTAATAATACAATGTGAAGCTTTGATTTAACTTTCAGATTACGTTAATTTATGTATAACTATAGTCTCCGTAAATTAGAAGAATTTTTTAAACACCTGATTTATTTCTTTTATCAGTTTTACACTTTCCAACCAAATATTTAACTTATTTTTTTTGTACAGAATATAAATGGTTTTCTTAATATATTATGGTATTTTATTGTTGTTTCCCTCATGTGTGTCCTTTAAAAGTTTAGATTAATATTTTACCTCTGTTGTCGTTTTGACATATCATATGTTAAATGTATATGGTAATTATATCAGCCCAGTTTGGTAATGGTTTCTTAATAAAAGAACAGCTGAAAACATTACATGTTTTAGTTTCTCGTTATATCCGAAATTGTTTTTATAAATATTAAAAACATTACACAGCTTACTAGAAAAAATATTACAAAAAATAGCTCACGGTACCAATGTTGATATTGATATTATTCAATAGAATTTTTTGAGACAAAATATTACACAGTAAGGATATAAACAAAATTCAAAGCTACTTTTCCTTACGTGCTGTAACTTTGTTATAGTAAATTATTCTTTTTGATATGTAAGGTTTGTTTTATGTTGTAGTTTTAATGTAATTTAATGATACAAAACGACAATTATTTTCCTTAGTCATGTAAACTGAGGTAAGTTCGCGTACCTATTGGTAATAATATAAAGTCTAAAAAGTATTGTTGTTGTTTTATTCATAACTCTTACACCGGACATTAGCTATCAAAATACCATAAAACCCGAGCGTGCTATGGAAAACAGTGCCAGGTGTGGATGCGCGGAATGAACGCTGAGAAATAACTTCCTTCCGCGCTTGCTGAATGCTAAACACCAACTGATTGATAAAAACAGACTTTAAAATTGATACCAATAAAGTTGTTAATGGTCTGGTTCATAATAGTTGTGTTCTCGACGAAGCTCGGTCGAATCTATTTGGAGAACGCCCGCGCGTCAGACGCGGTCGCGTCCCGCCCCAGAATGTGCGCTACATTATTTCTATAAACAAATATTTTGTATGTGCGGATAGGTGATTAGCAGATCACTATGATTAGCGACTGCTTATGAATTCGAAGGTATAGATTTCGAAAAAAAAACGATACTAATAAGATAAAATTTGTATATGAAAATATAGTTTTGTTTTGTGCTTCATATGCGAGGTCATTTTACAAAAATAAAATAATTTTACATGTTGACTGCGGTTTGTATGTACAGTTAACTAAATTAGTTGATTCGGTGGTATTTAATCAAGACGGATGCTTCTCTTGTGTGTACACGTTGCCCGTGCCTTTTTTGGTTGGTGTTGTACCTGTAACAACAAAAACTTCCGTTATTATTCAATATTAGAGCCCGCATGAATTCGCAATTACTCGTATTATGCACAATAAGCTTTTATATAAAATTTATGTGTACATTTATTTTGCGCTCATGCTAATTGCGGTTTTGTGGCGTCCATGTTTGAATTTACGGCACGTGCACGTGTTTAGCATTCCGAGCACCCCGCGTTCCAGCCGCTAATCTATTTTGTACAAATTGCAAAATTTTTCTACTTTATGGTAGGTATACAAAATTAGATTAATCAAGCATTTGATAACATAAAAAATTAAATCAAAACATTTGAGTAGGTATGTAATAATAAAATTTGTTTAAAGTAAACGTTTTAGTTCTGGATTTAAAATAAACAGTTTCTAATGTTAGCGAGGAGTAGGTACGTATGTGGAACGTGCGAGAAATTGTTCAACCAGCATTTCCAGGAAGCTTCTAACTCAGTGCAACTATGATATTCTATTCCGTCTTTATTTAACCTTCAGCGTCTGGCTAGATTCACTGTGTCTATAGTGTGCGAGATAAACAATTTAAATATGAATCGAGAATGAAGTGGTTTTTGGCGGTGCGCGAAATAAATACAATAAATCATATTTTGACGTTTAGTACGTCTGTCGCCCTGAGATATTTGTAGCGCGATAAAGGGAGGACAGTTCTTTAGGGATCTATGTTTTTTTGCTTTATATTGTAGATTTATGTGTAAAAATCATGTAATTGAAATAAAAATTTAATTTCCTGTTTTTGGAACGAAGTCAAGTTACGCTGAACTATTTGGTTATCGAATCAGTTCCTTCGAGTGTTATTTACGTGAATAAAATTTAATGTAACTCAAGCGTTTACCTTTCATGAAGGAAAATTCTTGAAGTTGTCGTTTCAGAGAATTATAACTACATATAAGTAGATTTAAATAGGTACCTAGTGTAAATCTATTTATAATCCATTTTCAAAATGTATATTATATACTTTGTCTATACTTATAGGAAATAGATACATACATATTGTTTTGTAAATATATACTAATAATGGTATTTGGTATATACATGGGGTATTGATAAGGATTGGAGTATTAGTAGTATTGTATGGATAAGGTTTACCATTTTGTCTATTTTGCCTCGAAGAAGGCGTTCCGTAGGTACAACTGATGTACATTCACGTTAGCCTTGGTTCTGGTAACTGCTTTTTGCAAGGAGGGCTTCGCGCCCGCCTGCCGTATTTCATTTCCCTAATATCATTCATATAACAATTCGAATACCGATAGGTACGCATTGACTAATTAATATGTTTAAGACACCACACTGCTTTTAATTTTTTATATATGTAGAAGTATATGTTTTCTTTGGTGTGTCATTTAGGACAGACAAGATGAAAAGTGCATATTTGTTTATGGGTGAAACATTACTTGGTATGAAATAGAAGCGTTGAGCTATAGTAATGGAATCCTATTATCAAAATGTGTAAACACGCAGGATAACATGATGTTTCAGAAATAATAAATCGATATGGAAGAAGGATAAAACTCCTGTCTCGAGAACACTCATTAAAAATGTTTGAATACGACCAAAGACGTGTTACTGATGAAAACTTATGAGCACAGTTGAAGCTAACTAGTCAGAAACTCCTAAGGAATTATAAGCACCTAAAACCAGAACTGTTCTTTCACTTTAAAATAGATCTTATGCATTTGAATATAACTGAGAAATTTAGCACGTTTCAGCAATGTCATGGAAAATACGGCATAGGAAAGTCCTTGTATATTGTGCGTCACCCTTAGATTATGCGTAGACCAGTTCGCGGCGTACTTTGTGTTGAGGGTTTAGCGACGCTCATAGACACTAGTGTAATTTTCACTGGTCTACCACCTCTTGTGAGTCCGCACGGGTAGGTACCACCTCCCTGTCTATTTCAGCCGTGAAGTAGTAATGCGTTTCGGTTTGAAGGGTGGGGCAGCCGTTGTAACTATACTGAGACCTTAGAACTTATATCTCAAGGTGGGTGGCGCATTTACGTTGTAGATGTCTATGGGCTCCAGTAACCACTTAATACCAGGTGGGCTGTGAGCTCGTCCACTCATTTAAGCAATAAAAAAAAATGCCGGCTTCAATAGAAGTTTTAAAGGAAGCAGGTCGCATTACTCCTTCACGGCAGATCAGGCAGAACGGTGATACCGATCTACGCGGGCACACAATATACCATCAGTAAAGCGTGCGTGCCATCAAGACGTGCTTCGCAAATTTAAGTAAGTATATTAGGAATATTTTTAAACACTCTTGTGTTATTGACATCGGCCGTTTCTCTGCATGCTAAAGAACGAAACCATAAAGGGCTTTTGAACACTTCCGGAGTCGCCAGTGGAAAAGGAAACGCATTCGCAAATTCACAATGCAGGACACGACCCTGATATTGTTGTCTTGTTCCCATGCTTAATGGTACAACGTCCTATGGAAAGTTTATACCGCATAGGTACATTAGGATTTCATATGTTGGAGTTTTGTGTTTATTTTAGTCTAACGACGCACGTCAGCGACCGCTCTTTATATATTTTATGGGTTGGATCGATAGACAGTGTGGATGGAATCTATTATTGACAGCGCAAACACGGCGTGAAAGGAAGCTTTCGGCTCGTTTCCTGGCGCTGAGAGAAATGAGGCCGAGCTCAACCGGGCCTCTGGCGTCACGCTTGCTTACCCTACATCCGTTTATAATTATATCTCATTTTTTTATGATCCCATTTTCCCTTCTTTCATTAAAAACTCTTTCTTCTTACTTTATAGTTGATAGTGGCCCGCTCCGGCTTCGCTTGGGTCTTTAACAAAAATTTCAACGATATTTGACGCTGTTTTATTTATTAAATAAAATAACACTTATTGCGGCATAACTATAGTAGTTAGACATGTGCTGTCGCGACACTTTTTGTTAATAAGAACGTGTTCTACAAAGTCGTTGTACATTATTTTATTCTATCATCAATAGTTTTCGCAGCGCACGCGATGTAAAGAATATTTTAGGTAATTAACTAACTAAAAGTTTTAGTAAGGATCCCTAAATTTTCAAAAAAGATTTTAGCCTATGTCACTCAGGAGATAGTGTAGCTTCCAAACCGGGAAAGAATTTTTCAAATCGGCTCAGTAGTTTCGGAGCCTATTCAATACAAACAAACAAATCTTTCCTCTTAATAATATTAGTATAGATATATAATGAAAACGTTTATGGGAGCAGTCTTGACGTCGAACTTTAGATTTCATAACAACATTTCAAAACAAGGAAACGATAAATTAAATCAGCGTCAGTTTCCTTTATCTTAGTAAACATGTATGTTTGAAATTCTATTTCCATTTTATACTATTACTATGTTATTGTACATGTTTACCTACTCTACAAATAGAAATGTTCTAAATCGTTAGAATGTGAAATATGATCAAGGTTTCCAGGCTTACAAAATACTATGACTAGAATTTTGAATTGTTTGCTGTTCAATAAGACAAGTAGGTATCTCTACGTCTTCAATATTATTCCTCTCTCACGAGTGCATGAGACGTGACAGTAATATGAAGTGCATTTTAACAACGGAATTTGTATGTAAGTATATTGGATTGTAATTAAATTGCTAATGTATTTATTTATATTGATCGAATCACTAAAATATATATTTGCAATTAAATTTTTAGAAAATGTTTGCTTGTAACAATATTAACAGCCTTGAATATACTTAACACGTATTTTTTTACTATTTCATCGTTATACACGTTGTTTACATTGAAAACGATACAGCGCAATTCTTATGAATAAAGACCACACGTTTGATATTATTTATCCCACGAAGGGAGTGCACCCACGGAATAATAAAATCTTCGGGTTCATTGCACAATGCCGGCTCACGCAACCTTGGAGTGGCTTTGTTTTTTTTTTTTAATTTACTTTAAGCGTTGTGTGTCGACAAAGCCTTTTTAGCTTTCATCATTTACATAATTACATCAATTATTATGACTCGGTTCAGGATTTTATTTTAAAACGTTGCTCATACATTCAGGTATAGGTATATATTGTACAACTGCACGCGATTAAAAGTCAAAACTTCGAAACTGGCCACATTTTTAATGTAATATTTTCATCTGGACGACCATGTAATATTTTAGTGCAGATACCGACCAGAAAATCTAAAACCAATGAAACATGTCTGCGATAGTATGGCCCTCCCGGTGAGCGTACTCGTCGAACTCGACAAGGAGTAACTCATGCATCAGCCCGCTGAGTTTCTCGCCGGATCTTCTCAGCGGATTTCGATTCCGATCCGGTAGTAGATTCATTCGCGAAGCAGCTACTCTTGAGCTGTTAGGTCTCGTTCGGAGGCGCTCGGGTAGCTGTTAGCAAATCCCACCTCCTCCTGGTGAAACTGGAATGGTCACTGGGCCACCAGTAATCACTCATTCCAAAAAAAGTATGTCCCAATAACGCTAACACACAAACAACCGCCTGGTTAATAAAGCCACAAAAACCCTTTACGGAGTAGCGGTTTTATCGATTTTAAAGAATGAAAATAATTAACTGCCGCGTACGTGGACTTGACTGTACTTTGAAAAGAGTGCTACTAAGCAATGATTGGTATGTTTTGATTACTTACTTAATTGTGAGTATCAAAATTCAAATTCATATTTATTCATTTATTGAAAAACAATGAAATCCGGAAAAATAACGCTTTAACTGTTTTCATCAGATTGACGGTACCGGTGCCTCAGAAAAACACATACATAGGCAAATATTTGTTGTAATATTATTATGATGACATAAAAATGCATTAGGGCTGGCCCGATTTAGGTATAAAATTGTATTGTTGTTTTCGTGTTTTTGTCGATATGTAAAATATACGAGTAATATGAAAACGAAGAACAGCTATTTATCAACAAATATTGGTGTTTGTCGAAAATCGATAGCAGCCGGAAGCGAGGACCTTCCAAGCGGCACGAGTGAAGCTCACGGGCGGAAGCATCGTCGCGGCGACAAGCCTGCATTACAAACAACCTGTAATCAACACACGTGCTGGATACACACCTATCAACAGCGGCAAGACACGACTTTCTAACAATGGCTTTAAGATTGAATGCTATTTACTGGCTAATGATTCTGACCGACGAATCTTTAAAATACGAAAGCAGGTTAGTAGGATTTACATTTCACTTTACATAAAATTAGTTAGGTATAGGTTTATAAAATTAAATAATGTATAAATCAATTCTTAATCATTTTATGTGGTTTTTACTCATTTTAGTTCCACTGTTATAAGTTGAACACGCGTGTGCCTGTGAATATATTAGATTTATATGATTCGTCTTACAAATGTTTATGCGACATTTGGTCATAAGTTATTTATAACACATAATATATTTTATACGAAGATGATTTCGGTCTTTTTTTAACAAATAGCAACAACCATCACAATAGTTTTATAGGTACATAACTTCGTATTAGATACGCTACATGTAATAAACATATATTTAAATCAATAGCAAGTATTCTGTGGCCATTTTGGAAAGTGCTCTAGGCGATTGCGACATCATTCTACAATGGCTTCTGTTCAACTGTGTCTACCTATGAACAAACTATCGACAGCCCATTAAAATTTGATCGACATTGAGCACGCGTGCGTGATGGAATCCACGACCTCGATTGATGAACCTAACGCATCTGCGGCCATAGAACGTTATTGAAACGTACTTAATGAAGATCGTCAGTGAGGCGACAGTTTCCGAATGCAATAAACGTCGCGCATCACCACGCATTAGACAAACTAGATGCTGACCGTTTTATTCTTTTTTTATAACGCCATCTTGTTGCGGTCTTTAAAGCGGCTAGTTGCCCTCAATTAAGAAAAATAGTATTATTATTCGCCAATAGATGTCGTGAAGAGTTGATGATTGAAAACACGAGTAAAACAACGTTTTCTGAAAATAAATCGTAGCTAGATCCCCCGAAATCCCCTGTATACTAAATTTTATGAAAATCGTTTCAGATTATATATTAAAGGTATAAGATACTCGTTTAAAGGTATAAGATATAATATATCAGATAACTAACGTAACGGTTTGACCTCGAGGAGATACCAATATAAATATTATTTGAAGTGCCCACACCAGACGACAAGAACACTGACGCCCACGCGACAGATTTATAAAACTGCACTGGCGTGGCGCCAGTCGAACTGAACGTGAGAACACTCCAGGCCAGCCCAAGATACAGTCTGCGTGAATATAACTTTATCGGAGACCCTTTTAGGTCGTCAAAGGGAAAAAAAGCGTTATGACACAGCCAGGACTTTCGTTTGAGATTTTGCTTGACGAAATACCATCACAACCAAAGTCAAAAACTGAGATGTTACCTCAAATCTGTTTTTCTATGTGAACCAATTCTGATTAATATTTGATTTCAATTCTGGTGCTTCTGGTCCATTTTTGAGTTATCCTTGATAATTCATATTTAATTTACTGGACTACGTTGATGAAATCTACGTCTTATTTCGTTGAATTCAGTTTTATTTTTGATAAAATTTGTATATTTTGTTTTAAAATTTTGAATAAGAAATAAAACGTTGTCAACAAACAAACACCTTGGTACAGGCACCGCATACATAAACGTTTATTTTGAATATATAATTTAAAAAAAGGTAGTTTGAGAGATGATAGTGTGAACTCACCAAGCAGAGCTTCTTTTCCTAAGTGAATATTACAGTATAAGTGATGATCAGTAGTAACTACGGGTTCCGCAGGCGCGTCTCCACCGGACTCCATGAGCTTTAGCTTAGCAGTGAGGTCTTGAACATCTGGAAATAATAATAAAACAACATAGGTAAGAGCTTCAATAAGCACTGTTTTTGTGACCGGTGTTGATGGCATCGTGTAGTAGAATCATTTTTAGCGGAAATCAGTATTAGCTGCTACATCTGATTTTTTTTTTTACTTTTTTCTTTAGCTGGTACTAAATATTATATAATATGTATCCTTTCGAAAAATTTTCTCGATGGGTGGACGAGCTCACAGCCCACCTGGTGTTAAGTGGTTACTGGGGCCCATAGACATCTACAACGTAAATGCGCCACCCACCTTGAGACATAAGTTCTAAGGTCTCAGTATAGTTACAACGGCTGCCCACCCTTCAAATCGAGACGCATTACTGCTTCACGACAGAAATAGGCAGGATGGTGGTACTTACCCGTGCGGACTCACAAGAGGTCCTACCAACAGTAAAAGGTACCATAAAAACCAAATTCAAAATTTCTTAATAAAGCAGCGAATTTGTTACATAGTTCTGGTTCTAATTTTGGTGTAGATGTATGCAACAGAAAAACCGTTAGCTATTGTTACGCGGGCGGTCCGCTACGCAGGTCTAAATTAGTAGTGCACATGTTCAAACAAACTCGTATTGTTTACACGGAGTGCGTGCTGGTTCGTTGTTGAATTAGGTCTGTTTCTTCCACTGAGATTTATCGACTTCAAGAAAGGTTTCACATACACATATTGTACATTTCAATTAACTAACTGTATTTTGTTCTGGTTATTTTCGATGGAATCGTTACAGGTTATGGATCAAATACATAAAACAGACACAACAACATCCACATAATTTCGTTTTACGTATTTGTATTCATAAGACCGGTCGTCACAATAATTTTATCTGTCTATGCGTTTTTCAATTACTAAAAATTGTTTGATCCGAGAATCATGTTCTGAGAAATTAAAAAAGATTTGAATGGATTTTTTTTATTGCTTAGATGGGTGGAGAGCTCACAGCCCACCTGATGTTAAGTGGTTACTAGAGCCCATAGACATCTACAACGTAAATGCGCTACCCACCTTGAGATATAAGTTCTAAGGTCTCAAGTATAGTTACAACGGCTGCCCCACCCTTCAAACCGAAACGCATTATTGCTTTACGGCAGATATAGGTGGGGTGGTGGTACCTACCCGTGCGGACTCACAAGAGGTCCTACCACCTTAATAGGGTCGAGAAATTAAAAAAGATTTGAATGGAAATAAATAAAAATATTTTGATTTTTATAAATCAACGTTTATTTTGAGTACGAAATTTTTCATTCTTACGGCATGTATTTGCCTTTTTTTTTATTTAAAAGAATTCAACGTAGCTACCGAGACACCTAACATGACTGCGACATGGACACAACAAGAGTCGTACTATCGTCGTACAGGTAGTCTCTGATTAAGATGCGCGACAGCGATGGGTCGTTAAAAGTTACACTCCCCTTCTGCGACTACATCATCTCGCATTAGGAAGTGGCGGACTGAGAAAGAGAGCTCAATGTGCTTAGTGCGAGTTTTTTAACGCTCTCTTTTTTTTCCTACCTATGCTGATAGCCTTGAGAGGCTATTTCAGCTTCGCCCTAACGTGTGTAGGTGAGCTCACGGGGCTCAAACCGGAGTGATGCTAACACTGACCCTAGCAAGAGCAGTGCTTCGCAGAATCTACCACCGGATCGGAAACGCGACCCACTGAGAAGATCCAGCGAAACTTAGTGGGCTGTGTCTATGGGTTAATTCGCTCGTCGAGCCCTTCGTCTCAAGCGACGGGTAGTGTTCTCGATAGCGTAAATTTAGCTCATATTTATATGGAATGGGATCGTTTGACTACGTTTGCCGTTTGCACACAAAATTGGGTTAACTTTTACTCTATCGAGAACGTTAAAGAACTCGCACTAAGCACACTTATACATCCACACCGATCCGCTGCCGCCGAGCCACGGGCAGAATAAATAAGCCCGGCTCCATCGCCAGTAAATTTTATGGCCCATCAGCCTTGCGGTTGTGTTGCACTCGTGACGTTCTTGTGTTCTGGCTCGGAATCGGGAAGAGGCACTTATAAAGGTGACGGTGTTTCGTTGGATTCCTACAGACAACGCTATAGTACCAAAAATGGAGTGAGGACCCGTCGATTTAATATACCGGCGAAAAAAGGTGTGTAAGAAAGTTAAAGATAAATCGGTCGTTTGAACTCGACCGATGATAAATTTGTTATTTTTGCTTATTGATATTCGCAAGCTTTCCAAATCATTGAACACGCGGGGCGGAAGTCTCTCGAGTGTTTGCAAATACCATCATTTCTTGAACGAGAAGATCATACACCTCGTGAAGCAAATAAAAATGATACCTTCATCTCATTTTAACAATGAACCGGGGCAAAAACCAGTAGTTTTAGCACTTCTAGTATAACGTGTTTGGAGAGATTGATTCTTATTTTCTTATTATCAAAATTTTGGAATAATTTTTATAGACTACTTTTTTTAAGTTAGACCGAAATTAGCTCCTCGGATTCTGTTCTTTTATTTAATTATTTATTTAGTACCAATTATAGGCAGACTGTCGGGCATTTTATCAAGTTAGCCGCATAATTGTTCATAAATTAGTAATTAAAAATTAAAAAGCAAACCGACCTGAGAAATACTAGATGCGTGTAAAAATGTAATGTATACCTATCTACTATCTTAAAAACTAAAAATACTATCTGAGTACATTGTTGTTGATATTCGTCAAGCGTAACCCATGTCTGGATAATAAAAAATGCCACCACTTCGAGGTCGAATGATCGAATCGTTAGTCCTCAATAAATAAACTATAATTTATGCTCCGTTGAACATGTTAACAGTACGCGAATTATTCTTTTTACATATTTGTAGGTATATGTTCAGTGCCTATTTCGTTTCAACTATCTCCTTTTTTCAAGGTTCCGTAGTAAGTGGCAAAAAATTAATGATTTGAAAATTTTGTCCATATCTCGGTTCGTATAGCAGCCATTACATAAACATCTTTCTGAACAAATTTATACTATCAATCACTAAAGATTTTTTATTACTTATTTACTCCGCTGACCGAACAACGATGTGTATCGACGACCATCTCGGATATCATTTTTGTTGTTTAAGCTCATTTTATTACTTTTGGATGGTTCCTTACATTATACGCTGTTACACAATGTTATTTGGAAATAACGAATATAGTGTATCTTAAATCACCTCCACAAAGACATTTAGTCTTATTTATTTATTTTTTATTGGAAATAATTATTGTTTGTATAGGTACTTAGTTTTGGTAAGTGAACTACGAAAAAAAGGAATTGTGGGCATTTCATCTATATAATGGAGAAACGAAAAAAAAATCTAGTGCGTGAAAATTCAAGTAGAAATATATAATTTGAGAATATCGTTAAAAAAGTTATAGGAACTGTTTGGCTGTTTATATCTATACTAATATATAAATCTACAGTGGTGTTTACGGATGTTCCGTTATAACTACTGAACCATGCATCCGATTGACTTGAAACTTGCTATTAATGTCGAAAATACATGTACTTAATGGATAGGCTAATATTTATATGAGTGTTGGACTCCCTACTCCAGTTGCGGGGGCGTTAATGATGAGAATCGTTATGGGGGTGAGAAATAATAATATTAATTTTAAATGCCCAGCGAAGTGCTGTATAATGACATGCTATTCCGGAAATGTTCATTATGTTTATTCAAATGTTTTGGGGGGATTTCTGTTGTTTGTTATTGTTATTGATTGCCTTTACAGTTCACCAAGGTGAGTTCGAGGGTTCAGTCGGGAGTGGAAACATTTAAAAGCTGTCGGAACGTTTCTAAGGGAGGCTTAATATGTAGTTTGGGTTCGTAAGATGCTCAATGGAAGCAGTTATCTCACATTCATTTTATGAAATAAATTTTAGGTTGTTAAAATAGAGATAACAAAATGGTTCGTCGCTCTTGCTGTGTTATAAAGAAATTAAAATAATAATAGAAACCCTAAATAAATGTGCTTTTCGATGTTCTTTTCTATATGATTAACTTCCGAATGAAGGTTTCATCCACACCGATGTAAAAAATCATCAAAATTCTCCACATATAGTGACGTTTTTTTAAGTGTGTTTTTAAGCGTCTCAACGCTCAGTTCGCGAATACTCTTGATCATACCTATATTAAATTAATTAATAATATAGAGTTTTCTATCGCAGAAGGACAAAGTAGAAGTAGTATTATTGCGCAGTGGTAAATCTAGTAAATACACAGTACTCAACGGTAGGCAGCGGCTTGGCTCTGCCCCTGGCATTGCTGAAGTTCATGGGCGACGGTAACCACTCACCATCAGGTGGGCCGTATGTTCCTACAATGGGCAATAAAAAAAATAAAAAATACAGAATATACGATTTGCACCCCTACCTGATTTAAGCGCCCGTTTTATTACCTTCCATTGCTTGGCATGGTACAGTGACATTACTAGCACCACGAGAAAGAAAACGACACATCCACTCGCGGCCAGGGTCAAACTGGTAGTCTGTAGGTCCCACGTCACTTCACCATCGCTATCTTTACTCACTTCACTATCATAATCCGTGTACTCGTAGTATTCGTCATCACTGACGTCATTGTCTTTAGTATCACCCTGAGCGCTTTCGAAGGGCCATATCCCTAGTTCGTAGATGGACTGGCAGATGGTATCCCGGTACACTTCACATGGGTATTTGACAACGAGGCGCAGGGTTGGGTCACAGTGCGTGCACGGGGTGCAGGCCTGGTTCTTCTGGTCCCAAAAGCTACGCCCCCGCTCACACAAACCTCCGCCCCATACTTTGCCCAGTGCCAGTGTAGCGACTAGCACACATAACTTTGTTATGTCTCCTTGCATTACCTGATGAAAAAAAAAAAATTATGAACATCATTTTGGTGGTGGGACCTCGTGTGAGTTCACACGGGTAGGTACCACCACCCGGCCTATTTCTACCGTAAAGCAATAATGCGTTTCGGCTTGAAGGGTGAGGGGTAGGGCAGCCGTTGTAAGTATACTGAGACCTTAGAACTTATATCTCAAGGTGGGTGGCGCATTTACGTTGTAGATGTCTATGGGCTCCAGTAACCACTTAACACCAGGTGGACTGTGAGCTCGTCCACCCATCTAAGCAATAAAAAAAAACATCAAAATTCAAGAACTCTTGGGATATAGTCATTATTTTTTTTCGATCTAGCTACATAACATTATTAGAGAAACCTTTGATTGTTTATAAATTTTAAACAGTGTCAGAGTTGCTGTTTGGTCCCAGACGTATACATTTTTTGTTTCTCATTGCCGCCGCCGCGGTGTCCGCCGTTCATCAATTAGTTACGGCTGCTGCGAACCACAGTCCAATGACTTCAAAAAATGTCCATTAATTTTCTCCTCAATATTTTAACTTTAAATAAAACGTATGTAGTTAGTGTTTAATTTTTTTTTAATATGGCGAATACCATACATAAAATATAGATTTCATGTTAAATTTTTATTTTATGAATTAAATATTATTATGTAAGTAAATCATTATATTTTTTTAAGATTCATAGTTTTTTGAGCTTTTACGTACCCCAGCCCTTATGTTCATGTAGGCCGTCGAGTATTCACTGAGGTCCACATCTCAATAATTACATTCTTTAGAAAGTTCACTTTCACCAAAATCACAATTGCATTGACTGAGCACTGGGCTTTTTACAATTAATGGAAATGTTAATTTGTGAGTCGTTAATGTTATTATGAATGATTTTTAACAGGACTTTGCCCAAATCTCGATCGTATTTTTCGCGTATACACTAGCCCGTTCGCTGATAGCGACAAGCGAGGCACTGAGCGCGGGAAACGGACCGAATGCGGTCGTAGATCGTTCCTCTATCCCTCCTCCCGTCTTGAAGGATTTACGTTTCATGAACTTGATTAACAACACCAGGGATGAGAGAATCTCCGATAATAACACATGTTTTATCAGAACCAAAGAGATCAGTATGTTATTTTGGATACTGTTTCCACATTTAAGCCAATGAAACTGCCATTGCAAGAAAAAATATTAAACATATTTATTTTTATTACCTTTAAATAGAAAGTAAAAACCAGGTATTAAGTCGCATTCAAAATATGTATGTATAGATATCGCATTCAATAGATGTATGTATAACTCACCCGAGGGTAAGTGGTCACTGTAGCTCATGGACATCAGTTCTGCCAACGTCACAACCTCGTTTGAAAATGTACATTTCATAGCACACGCAAAACGCCGTGGAGAGGGGGTTTATTCGAAAGCCAAATGATACGTTATAAAAACGATTTCGGGAAACGAACTGCGAACTCCAAGTTATTCAATCTCGTTTTTGCAGGATAGCCGTCGGAGCCGCGTTGTTCGTCGAGAACGTTGACCTCCATGATGACCTGGACTTAGAGTCCATCAGTAAGTATCTATAGTCGGCATCGATGCGTCACTTCGGCAAAGCGGCATGACACGAGAACCCTCTCATCGTGTCCGCCGGTAACTACATTCCCGATCCTGCGAACAGAATGGAAAGCAGTCGACGTTGCCCAAAACACATCATTTCGGATCCTCCCGATCCACTAACGATGCTTTTAGGTACCTCAAGCACCGGTCATCGTTCTCGGCGAACCCATCGCTTGCGACGAAGGGCTCGACGAGTAAATTAACCCACAGACACAGCCCACTGAGTTTCTCGTCGGATCTTCTCAGTGGGTCGCGTTTCCGATCCGGTTGTAGATTCTGCGAAGCACGGCTCTTGCTAGGGTTCTATATACTATACTGTAAACTATACTGAGACCTTAAAACTTATATCTCAAGATGGGTGGCGCATTTACGTTGTAGATGTCTATGGGCTCGAGTAACCACTTAACACTAGGTGGTCTGCGAGCTCGTCCACCCATCTAAGCAATAAAAAAAAGGAAGGATCTTTCTGAGATAACTTCTAATATAATTTACAAAACAGGAATCACTGAATCTTTTCCACCATAGATTCCAAGCGATTCATGAGATCCGGATTATCAACAAACCGAACTGCCCTGTTCTATTGGGAATCAAGATAACTTATGTATTTTTTTATTTTATGAATGAGTGAACGAGCTCTCAGCCTAGCTGTATTACATATACTGTTAACGGGGTTCATAGATATCGCTAGTTTTTAAAATGCCAATCAGTTTAAGTCTCTTCAGGTCTGTCTAGCAATTATATGGGCTTTGAGCTCACGGATTCACTGCATAAGTAAAGAAAATAAAGTTCTTTTAGCGGCTCATGTCTTAAAAACCTTTACGGAGAGGCATTTGGTCCATTCATCAAACGGATGCTAAAGAGCCGAAAGTGCGGCGAATTGATTCAGAAAATAATGTGCGGCAGATGGCTATAGTGTCGCATCGCCTTATCGTAGTAAATGTCCAAATTGTTTTTTTTAAGACAGGGGTTACTGGTGGCCCAGAGGCCTTTCTGGTTTCACTAGGACAGATGGGTCCAAATGCTGTGGTTCGGAAATTGTATTTTCAACTATTTCTAGAAAATGTAGTTAGCGCGGTTTATCAAAAAAAGTCGTGTATAACACGAACTAAAACAAACTAACCAAAATACCTTGTATTTTTAAATTTATATGTATAAATGTGTGGAAATGTGAATAAAACTAAACGGTTGGACGAGGGAGTTGCATTGAAATATTACGAATTCATCATGAGGCTATTCCATCACATCCGCATTGGTGTTGTTTCATTTTATATTCCATTTTAATTTTGCTAAATTAGATATTGCTTCGACTTTTCGTTTAAAAGATTTTACAGTATGGCCTATATTCCCTGTGCCTGTCTCATCAACAAATCAAACTAAAAAATGTCAATGTACACTACACTGTCACTCAAATAAATTTCAAATCATTTTCATCATCCAAATCTAAATCTGATTTGAGATTTTTTTAGTTAACAAAGGAGAGCAGCATACTGCAAAATTAAATAGCAACTCATAATTTATGTGTTTGCAAAGGCTACTTACATGTAACAATATATTTTAAATGTTAATAAAATTGCTTTTCATTAGAAAATAATTTAGTCAATACCAAGTAAGTAAATTTTCTTTCTGATTAATTATTTTGATGTAATTGTTTAATAGTATTTTTTCATTAACATTAAATTTCGACCTTCCTTTAAAGTACCTATCAACAGTAAAATGACCTCAATAAATCGAAGATTAAGGCTATCGCAAATTAATAGTGCTCTAGTCCAAGATCCATCTGTATCTTCTACAGTTCATAATTCTTCAAGACCAAGGATAAGGGAAATCAGACTTAATTCTGTTGGCTTGTTTTATCGTATTTCAAGTATATCACTCTTATTCATTATTAATGCTATTTAAAAATGTAGGTCCCTATCTTGTAGTAATATTTTTGGAAATTCTATACAAACAGTCTTAGGATATTTTAAAACTTAACTCAATGAAATTTGTATAACAATCATACACAATTTAGAAGAATTAGTTTGAATTTTTGGTAGTAAATGTCTGCTTAGTTTTTTTTTGTGTTGAAATCGATTAGAATTGCATAATTATGTAAATATATTTTTTTTAATGTGAATTATATTTTCAGACATGGAAACAAAAAGTGAGAAAACATCTAGTTCAAATTTATCAACTTCTACGGCTTTAGTATTAGTTGTATTTATATTTTTATCTTCACTATTAGCACTAGCACTCCTATACAGACAATTCCCGGAGTTAGAAGAGTAAGTAATATTTTGCTATAATTATTGTTGACCAATACTGTAGACTACTTTTCTGAATTACAATAGATGGTTTGGGTGATCTTGCAACTCATGTGGTCTTAGATGATTACTGGAACCTATGGATATCAATACACTTAATAATGCATCCACACACCCTAAGTAATGAGGTTGAAGATTCAACTTTCAAATAAGAACTAAATAGGAATAAACAAACCAGTGGTAACAACATTTAAGGGCCTTAACCCTTTCTTTCTCAACAGCCCTACGGTCAAATCACTTTATCCTTTAAACAACTATAACTTCAATTTATTTGTTTATTTAGTTTAAAAATATTTATTTTAAAAATGAATTCTAACATTGATATTATTCATCTAGATGTTGTTGATAAATCTAATGTATAATTTTTTTTTCTAAACTGGTTACACTATTAATAATTTTATTAAAGCAACATTGAGGTATTTTTTTAAATTATTTTAACAATCAAATGTTAAATAGCAGTACTTTTTTGTCATATCATGTTCATTTTTATTCTTATTCCCTATCTATTTGCTGGTAGCCTAAGGGCATATTCCAGTTACACACGGATAGAATGCACAGGTTCAATCTGAAATAATTTGCTAACACTAGCCTTAGCAAGAACAGTGCTTCACAGAATCTACCATAAGTTAATTACAATATGTAGATATAAGTGGTCCTAGAAGGCTAAAATATGTATTTACATGCCAAGCAGAGTACAAAAATATTACAATTATGATAATTTGCATCTCATAATTATTTATAATATATTTACATTGTTATATTATATCTCTCAACATGAGGATAATGTTGGATTTTCTTTTATAAGAATAGCTTAAATACACATTTGCATGATTAAATATTGCAAGACTAATTATTTAGTATTATAAAAGTAAAAATGTATTTTTTTGTTCTAATATATTTTTTTTTTATTGCTTAGATGGGTGGACGACCTCACAGCCCACCTGGTGTTAAGTGGTTACTGGAGCCCATAGACATCCACAACGTAAATGCGCCACCCACCTTGAGATACAAGTTCTAAGGTCTCAAGTATAGTTAGTCAATTAGAATTGACAGACATTGACTATCACTAATTCAGTATTGGCCTGGAGAGATGTAGGTTTATAACTTATTTCCACAAAAAAAACTTATTTGCAAGGGAAACAATTCCTTCATCATACAGATGAAGCCACAGGTAACAGCCGGTTATATTATATAAACAAATCTGAACATAACAAATGAAAACTAATTACAATTCATATGTTCAGTCTAAACTTCAATTCATGGAAATCCAACCATATATCAGACCTTTAATGTTGAGCCCTGTCCTCAAAAGGCTTTATAATAAACACAATATTGTAACAAAATGGTTTATTATTTTTGTTAGAGTAGAAGTTTACAGTAACATGTGACATTAAAGCTAACATGAGTAAAATGACAACTTTTTTCCTTACAGACATGAGCGACAGCATTTACATTTACCATGGGACTTAGAGGATGCTAAACAGTTGGGTCTTGTACTGGACAGATACAAAGACAGATATTTTTATGAAGTATTATTTGGAGTATTTTTAGTTTATATATTGTATCCTTTGAAAATGTACGCAAATCAAAATATGGATATAGATGGCAATGTAAAAAGTATCAAAAAGCTTTCCATTTAAAATATTTTTGATTGGATTTTCATGTAAAATACCTCATTTCAAATTAATATGAACGTAACAACAACTCAATGCACTTCTTAATAATATCCTTAGCAACAGTCAGTTTGCAAACATTTGCAATACCTGGATCTATATTTTTAAGTATACTTTCAGGGTTTCTTTTTCCTTTTTATTTCGCACTGGTATTAGTTTGTTGCTGTTCAGCAATTGGTGCAAGTCTATGTTTCTTCTTGTCAAATCTTCTTGGAAAGAAGCTTGTTAGAAAATTCTTCCCAGAAAGAGCAGCAGAGTGGTCAAAGGCAGTGGCAAAACACAAGGACAATTTGCTCAATTATATTGTCTTTTTAAGAGTCACACCTTTTTTGCCTAACTGGTTTATAAATATGTCTGCTCCAGTGATTGGGGTGCCTTTGGTGCCATTTGCATTAGGAACATTTATTGGTATGAATTATTTTAATCATTATTTTAATCATAATACTACTACAGTAGTTCACTAATTGCTTCTAATCAATTACAGGTGTGGCTCCACCATCATTTGTAGCAATTCAAGCAGGACAAACCTTACATACTTTGACATCTACAAGTGATGCTTGGTCGTGGACATCTATAACAGTACTCAGCGTTTTCGCACTAGTTTCCTTGATTCCAGTATTCTTAAAAGACAAACTTCGAGAAAAGTTTGACTAAGATATTTATTTTATTTATGTATTGCCATGCTTTACATTCCACAAAATGTTGGTTTGGTTTAGTCATTAATGTTATTATTAGCAATATGAGCCTATATGGCCAAAGAAAGTAGTATTGTCAACTGTAGGTTGTATTTTTGGTCTCCAGTACCACCAATTGTACCATACTGAAAAGAAAATACATCGTATTAATATCTGACACTTGTTTTGTGTTTTGACAATTTTTTAGCATTCTATGGGGTATTAAAAGAAAAAAATGTGTCTTATAACTTTGTTTAACTTACGTAAATAACCTTCTTTTAAATCAATTGACAAATGCCTGCATTGATGTTTGCATTCTTCAGCTGGTATTAAATAGAGTGTCCTTGCACCACTCAATGATAGTACGAATGAGAAATTACATTCAGTATCTGGTAATTTATATGAGTCTTGATTAGTATGTATTATTAAATATCTCTCTATGCTCTGTCCAAATTTCGGTACTACTGTCGGTCGGGGTATAAGTTGTCGTAACACTTTTGCTTCATTCATCCGATTGAATTTCCTGGAAAATTGTTTATTATTTTCTGTTAATAATTTAGTAAGAGAATAATAATTTAATAATTTACTACAGAGCGTAGAGCACGAGTATTCAACCATTTTACGGTTTATAGTCACTGATTACTGACATGCCTCACAGGTGATCTCAAAGGCCACCTGATTAAATGGTTACCAAAATCACATCAGAAAATAAACCACTCACCTTGAGACACCAGGCTGAAGCTTCCATTATTTTGTATAATGTCTGGCGTGGTTAATACTATCTACCATCAGTAGTTATTTATTTACGCACAAACTTTTTTTGTGGGAAATGTTTGGCTATAATTTAATATAGGTTACAGAAAAAGTATAAGTAACAATCTAAAATCGTAAAACCTCAGTGACATAACATGTACCACCGTCTCATCAAAAATAAACTCTTCTTCATCCCACTTGCACTTTGTATCTTTTGTTTCCATTCAAAATGTTGTTTGAAAACCATAGTATTCCAGCATACTGACCACACATAAATATTTTTTTCCCCTTTTGCATGTAGATCAAACATATCTTCTGGTTGTATATAGAACTTGTTATTTAATAAAATCTTTGGAGATGCATTAGCAAAAATATCTTTATTTTTTTCATAGAGACTTTTAAGCAGACTTATTGAAATTCTTTCTTGACTAGTCTGAAAATTAACAAAAATATAATTTAAATTTGGGTGCGTGTTGTATGTTGGTGGGTTAGACGCCAATGTTGAGAAGATAGCTTTTGAAAATGAATAAATCCATTAAGTTTGCGAGTATATTGAAAAATGTACATAGCTAAGCTGCAATTTTCTAGGTAGCTCTAGCAAAAGCAGTTTTTGCTTGTTTGCAGCTGCAGAATCTACCATTGGATCGGAATTGTGACCCATTGAGGAGATTGGCGAGAAAATCAGTGGGTTGTATCTATGGGACAATTTATAATAAGCAAAATGTGATTTAATACTATCACTGAAAAGTAAATACTAAAAAACAGAAAGCTAAAAAAATTGACCATCTCCTAAAATTATAATGTTCAACTATGTTATGCATTGATATTAACTACATACCTGGTAAACAAATGGAGCAATGTGCTGTTTAGTGACTGGTTTTGGGTCAAAGATCTCTTGAATATTAGTGATAGAACTACATGGCCAACAATCCATATCGACAACAGTGAAGAATGGGTTTTGTAATAAACAAGTTTCATAGTAGTATTCTGAAAAAAGGTTATGTAAGTATAAATAAGTACAGGTCAGCTGTCACAATAAAACTGGTGCTTATAAAGAACTAAAATACCTGATAAAGCAGGGAACAAAGAAATAAATGGTATTGAGATCTTTCTCAGTAACCTTAGTCCTGGATATATGTATTCTTGTAAGTTGCACACAAAACTGCTATACACATATTTGAAGTTGAATAAAGCAAATACCAAAAGTAGTACGCTAATTATTTTAAGTTTATTGTTTCTAACAATTGTCAATGAACTGGGACGTTCACTTTTTTCTAGTGTTTTGAGAGATTCAAAATACAATTTCTTGAAATCTTCTTCACTAATACCAGCGTTAGCGGCTTCCCTTTTTAAGTTTTTGATTGAACTTGAGTAGTCTCGAAGTACTTCCTGATTGACCATGATTAAATTCAATTTAATATGTTTACCGTTTGTTAAATATAAGTAATTAAAATTTTACATAAGTATAAGTTATTTGTGAAATAGTTGGTAAACAAACAAAATAAAGGAATTATATTTGTTTACAATTTGCGTCAGTGGCATAGACCACAGACTAGACAGACAGTAGGGACCTATCAAAGAATCGATAATTGATTTTATAAGATAGATCTCCTTGACCTATTCTTTTTTCGAACCGATCCTTCATACCCCAATTTGTCAGTATGGCACAAGAAGGACTTATCCGGTTTCTGGGATGATTTGATGGGGAAGTCTTTAAATCGTATCAAGGCAGCTGACGCTATAAGATTTGCATTGGCAAATTTTTACATAAATTACGTGTTTCTATCGATAATTAATGATCTTAATGTTAACGACACTGATCTACATCGACATATAATTTTAGTGCATTACATTTTCTGGCTTTGTTGACATTTTGGAGAAAATTACTTTTCGTTATTTTAACATTTAGGTTCGTCAATTGCAACTGAACTAAAATAACAGATCGGTTGCCCAACAGGTAACAGGATATTAACCACAGTTGCGTTTGTCAGAATCGGTTATCTTCTGTTATTTAAAAATCCTTTAATTTGAATTATGATTAATTTAGGCCCCATTCCTAATGTTCGTTCCCAATAGATCGTGGTGGGCTTGATTTTTATTAAGTGCAATGACCACCTGTAGCGACAATGGCTGATTCTCTCTCTTCCCAGCTATTTATCCCACATGGTGGTGTGGTCAGCTTTCCTGACTTTACTCCTCCACTTCGCTCTGTCTTCGACATCCTCGTCAGCAACATTGCATTATCTCTTGTCCTTCAGGACTACGTCCCTCCACCTTGTCTTGGGTCTACCTCTAGGTCTCCGACCGGGGAGGTCGAGCAGTAGCGCCAAATTTCCGACGTAGTCAGGCGGCTTCCTTTTCACGTGACCATACCATCTCAGCCTACTCTCCTGCATCTTGTCGGCGATGTCCCGTACACCTAGACTTCCACGCACGTACTCGTTGCGGATTTTATCGAGCCTAGTCACGCCGCGCATCCACCTCAGCATCTTCATTTCAGCAACTTGAATTGTATGCACGTTCGTTTTGGTTGCCGCCCATGTTTCGCGGCCATACATAAGAACAGCCTTATTATGGTCTTATAGATCATACCCTTGAGCTTAACGGGCATCCTCCTATCGCAGGTGACACCACTTACTTCTCGCCATTTTAGCCACGCTGCGGCTATTCGGTGTTGAATGTTGCATTTTAAATTTTCAGATCTGTGCATCATACTACCCAGATACTAGTATTGATCGCACATGTTTACAAGTTGACCGTCAATGGAAATCGGACTGCTGTCACCTGGATCTGGGTCATTAAAAGACATGTAATGTGTCTTCGCAACACTCAATATTAGGCCACCGGCCTGTTACTACTGTTTCCATAACAGGAGTGCCTCTCGTAGCTCTGTGCGGCTTTTGGTGCAGATAGCAACGTCGTCTGCATAGATGAAAGTCCACGAGGCTGAGGACTGCGCCACCTCAGTGAGTGAGTCTATAACCATGCCGAACAGAAAGGGACTCAGTACTGAACCTTGATGCAGACCTTCTGCAACTGCTATTGGTTTTGTCTGACCCACTACTGTCCGTAGTGGGAGAGAGAGAGATGCGTGTTTCCGGCTTAGTGGTTGGAAAGTTATTAGTTTCATAATTGCTTGGATGATCGTGAAGGGGCCCTCACGAGCGATCCTATTGTTTAGTAGTCACTGGAGCTCATATAGATGACAACATTAAGTCGAAGTCTTCTAATTGAATTCTAAAACTAAAGTCCCCACATTAACAGAAACACATAACTGCGGTGCTAGTAGTACCTACTCGCCAGGATTAATTAGGTATACGCCGGATTTTAGGATCGGCGCTCGACAGCCGCATGGAGGTCACGACGACTTCAATTGTTTTTTTATTTGGTTGGATGAGCTCATGGCCCACCTGGTGTTAATGGTTACCGGAACCCATAAACATCTACAACGTAAATGCCGCCATCCACCTTGAGATACGAGTTCTAAGGTCTCAATATAGTTACAACGGCTGCCCCACCCTTCAAACCGAAACGCATTACTGCTTCAAGGCAGAAAGAGGCAGGGTGGCGGTACCTACCCTTACGGACTCACAAACGGTCCTACCACCACTTTTAACGATTTTATTTGAAGAAGTGATAAGACTATAAAACCGAATGAACGAAAAGTCATCTTGGTGGTGCGCAATCAACCATCAGTTCCATAAATGTCTTAAAACATAGAAGTTATTAAGTTACTAAATGACAAAAAAATGTAAACGAAGCGTAAATAATAATTTGCGAAATCAGACATAAATACTCATCGTTTTCGCTATTTTGTTTGTTTGCTGAATTCACAAAGTAAAAAAATGTCACTATGACATCACCTCACGTGCAGCGTGTAAACATTTTTTTATTATCTGACGTTCTGTTATAAAAAAAACAGGATTTTTTTAAATGTTCAAATGCAGTATCGTTTCTTTAATCAATCTAAAATGTAGCGAATGCCACAATCCGAATAGTGATATACAATGTTATTTCGATTGTTTTATTTTAGTGCTATTGTTGTTTTTAGGCCCGAGGAATCTACATGATAAGAGTATATATATATTTATATTTTTTTTTATGATTGAGGATTACTGGTGGCCCGGAGGGCTTTCGAGTTTCACCAGGACAGGTGGGCGAGCAAAGGCTCAGCCAGGAGGGGTGGGATTTGCTAACAGCTACCCGAGCGCCTCCGAAGCAGACCTAACAGCTCAAGAGCAGCTGCTTCGCGAATGAATCTACCACCGGATCGGAATCGCGACCCGCTGAGAAGATCCGGCGAGAAACTCAGCGAGCTGATTCATGGGTTAGGTTGCACGGCGAACTCTTTGTCGAGTTCGACGAGTACGGTTACCGGGGTCCCTAAGCCTGCTCCTAGTGTTAGAGCTGAGGCCTCTAATGCAAAGGTTATTGGATCTGATGGATCCGTAAGGACGTGATAAGAGTATAATAGCAATCAGGCGATCCGAACGTGCGACCTCGGCCTGCTTTAGGTACTCCAAGCACCGGTCATCGTTCTCGTCGAACCCGTCGCTTGCGACGAAGAGCTCGCCGAATAAATTAACCCACAGACACAGCCCACTGAGTTTTTCGCCGGTGTGCTTAGTGCGAGTTTTTTAACGTTCTCGATAGCGTAAAAGTTAACGCAAATTTGTATCAATTGTTTGTAACTCGCACTATGCACACGGATCTTCTCAGTGGGTCGCGTTTCCGATCCGGTGATGGATTCTGCGAAGCACGGCTCTCGCTAGGGTTCGTGTTAGCAACATCGTCAGGTTTGAGCCCTGTGAACTCGCCTACTAGCCCGGCGACGCTGACATGGTCTCTCTAGACCACTAGCTTAGGTAGGAAAATCGTCCGCAGTAGTACCTCACTTTGTTTTCCTATTATACTTTCTCTCTCTGGTCTGATGTTTACCGCCTGTTTTAATAACCTGTGGGAGTGTTAACACAACCGTGCTTGTTAATATGATGCCTTCTGATTTGAAGTGAATAAAGGTTAGTTAACCCTTTCCAAGCCTCGTTATTTTTCTTAATTTTGTTTTTTTTTGTTTTATTGTACCTAATTTATGTTTGGAATAAATGATCATTACTATTATTATTCTACTGGAGTCAAAAATCAGCCTGTATCCGCTTCATACTAAACTGGATGTGAACATGTCGACATTGATAAAAAAAATAATGACAGAAATTGATGGCCACTATAACTTTTATGGTTTCTTTCTACATTAAATTAATTATATAAACATATTTGTTTAATTTTAAAAGATTAACTATCAAATCACTATGTTAAAAAAAAAATTGTTTAATTTATTATTTTTCATACCAAGACATTTGATTCTGACTTACACCACAGGATCGATGTTTATAATAAAAAAAAACGTGCAATTTAATTTTGTAATTAGTACCAAAACGAAATATATACGCACAGTTCTTTCTTCGATTTGATAAGATAAGACAATGTAACCTACGTGTTGGGGCCTTCTGATAACGTGGCCGGTATGTGCTTACTGTCCTGTCAATACGACGATATGCTCTCTTTCGTCTACTAGTAAGTCATTAAATAAATAATATTCAGTACCAAGTATTAAAACTAGTCACAAGTGTTTTTAAAGAATTTCAAACAATGAACGGTGATTAAGACGTGTAGTGTGATTACAACAAAAAAAATATGTATGTGTATTTCGAAATATGCAGGATTATGGAAGTCTAAATGGAATTCGAACGAATAGAGGGCACGTCCTGGCATTGGCCCTTACTGCTCTCCGTCGTGTTTTTGAACGTGCGTATTCATATTATAGTACTTAATTAATATTCATACGAAAATGCCTTTAGTATCGTAGTAAAATTCACCGCTTTTTCAATTGGTTATTACGCTGTGCTGTCTGTCAACTGACAATATAAAAATACGTCGTTGTTATGATATCTTAGTTCACACTTCATAAATAGATAAAGATATCAAGTATGTGCTCACTGCGACCACGATCGAAAATCAACCACTACACACACATAATATTACAGAATCTAAGTTAATGAATTCGATAAATAAATAGGCTGTTAATTGGTGTATTATATAATATTCAAATCACATTTAAAATAGTTCGGTGATTAATTCTAATTACAAATATATATTTTGAAAAAATGTAACTTTCTTACATTTATTACTTATCATCAAATTATTTCGATATTTCTAATTATCCTGCTTTGAAAACATTTTATTTATCGTCGAGCAATAATATTCGTCAATAATAGTCGATTCACTTCAATTTATTTATTCATCTTTATGCACAAGAGTACAGTGGCGGAGTTAAGTTGGCCTAAGGCATTCCCTGCCAGTCAAACATAGTTAATAATACACTTTAGAAGTCAAACACGGGTGGTAGTGGCACATAACATAACATCCTATGGTTGGTGCATTCCTTTATAAAAAAAAAAGTTTTTTTTTTATTAAATACATATCCACAAACAACAAATAGACATAACATACAACGACGTATAACACATGTTTATTTTCTAAAAAATATATTTTCTACATTAATCATAATAATACATTACAATTATTACATTAGCCTATCCATTGAATAATTTCTTTAGATTGATATATGATATACATTTTAGTATATAGGTAAATTTTTAATTATAATATATATGTATATATGTAACATCTGCAAATTAGGTACCAGGAAAGAAAATTTAAGTTGTTCTACTTTATTTAACCTATATTCAAATTATAGTCAAATTATTCATTGTTGTTCGAACGCAATTTGCATTAAACAACAGAATCGCGCGTTGTTATCGTGAACAAAGTACTATCTATATAAAACGCTAATAGGGTATATACGCAGTTTTTATAAAGTAATGTAAGCTGCTGGCGCTTTACCATCATACGTCTGAATTCGTCCACTGGGAGAACTCTTAGATCTGCCTTTGACAAGTATTTAGTCTATTTGTCCATTCGCAATATCAATGTGGTATACAATTGATAGTATTTTAGAAATAAAATGCTTTTTTTCGCGGTGTAGGTTTACCAATTATATTTACGAACCTGGTCCCATAGTACTTACACATCCCTTTCGGTTTAACAACATGCGAACGATAGTCCTAAGGAACTTTGCGTTTAAATCGAAGTGGCCTGGAGGTCTGCGGTAAATCACTTCTCTTACTCTTCTCATTGGCTTGGCGGCAGCTATCAGTGTGAATATCGCCACCACCTTAAAGTTTTCCTGATCTGATTTGGAATGCGTCATTAATTTATCGGAAAAAAGAAGGTAACTGGCCGCGTCTCCGTTTATTATAATAAATGCTTTATTTTCTTGAATATATAAATTTCACTACCTTAATCATATGAATGGACGATAAATAATGAAATTGGTTTTCGTGCCTGGTTGCGGTTTTTGAGAAATGAATCTATTTGAATAGGTTTGATGGTTAAGTCACATGTTGTATTTATCGTGACGTCGTTGCAATAAAGAAATATGTAATTTATCGGATTGATTGATTGGCAAAATAATCGAAATTATTTATCAATATTTTTTTGACATTGACAATATACAAAAAGGATCACCATACGAACAAAATACTGCGTTTTTGGACTGAATAAAATTGTGAAAGTTGATGGAAACGATTTTTAGTTTGTCCGTATTCGAATAAGTCAACCTCAACCCAAAAATACATCGCAATGTGTTTCTCGCCGGGTCTTTTCAGGGGATCGCGTTTCCGATCAGATGGTAGATTCCGCGAAGATTTGATTACTTGCTCTTGCTGAGGTAGTTGTTAGCAACGTCTAAGCCCGAGCCTCACCCAGAATAGCACCTCTATACTTTGATAAGACGATGCGTCATTAAAACCATCTTATCGTGGTAGCCGCTGACTGTTGCACGAATACGGCTCATTTAGATGCGAGTCAGCGTCGACTACGTCCTACGGCCTAGACGCGTCTTTACGGATCCACCCGATCCACTGACTCAGCTATTAGACGAATGCGGCTCTAGCACTAGGAGCAGGCATAGGGACCCTGGTAGCCGTACTCTCGTCGAAGAGTTCGACTTGAAACATAACCCATACATCAGCCCGCTGTGTTTCTCGCTGGATCTCCTACGGTAGTAGTTACATTTGCGAAGCAGCTACCCTCAAGTTATTAGGTCTCCTTTGAAGCCTAACAGCTTCACAGCAAAACCAACCACTCGACGACGAATAAAATCTTATATACGAACGTATAAGGTTTTATTTACTACAGAACCTGTAACATAAAGTTAAACATACGAAAATATAAAAGAAAGTAGTAAACGCGAGATGATCATAGCGTTCAAACCATAAAACTAGTGTCATATCATATTCTTCCGTTAGGAGCGGCTTACCTGTGCCACTGGCATTGCTGACGTCCATAAGCCATTGCTACAACTCACTATCAGATAGATCCTAAGCTCGTCTGTCTGTAAAGTGAATAATAAATATATGTTTTTAAAGCTTATAGATAGTTATATGTAGATTGTACTTCTTGATGTGAAGAATGAAATGTAAAATTAAACATAAAAATATGTTTTTTTCTCGTACCAGGCCGAAAGTTCGTGGAGTACCGAGCCGGGATCCAGGGGCGAAGCCCCGCAGGGGTAGGGGGGCGGAGCCCCCCCCATACTGATAAAAAAACAATTTAACTGTTTTTTAATTTTTAAATAAACTACTACTAATTAAATAAGAACTGTTTGATGAACTCATCTTTGTTTAATACTTCACTATTCAATTTTATTGCCTTTTTTTATTGCAAATTACCAGAGCAAAAATTTTAGGTGCGTGAGAGCAGACGTAGACACAAACGCGCATGCGCACTTGTACCAAGGAAGAAAAGTTACACTTTCTTCCCTGTACAGCGGGACGAAAACCGAACTTTCGGCGTAGGTAGGAGAGAAAAAATAGTATGTGCACCAAGGGAGAAAAGTTGGACATTTCCTCCCGCGTGTAAAATTGCGTAAAAAATGGCAAACACGGTGAATGTACTATTACCTCCTACCGATGTGCAATCCTGATGTTATGTTCGCACGGAAGAAAATATTTCCTTTAACTGATTAATATGAAACTAATATTCTAAATTGTGCTATTTAATTGCACTGTTATTAATAAAATACATATTATTATATAATGTGGGGAAGTACATTGCATCGAGTGATCAACATTTCAAACTAGACACGACCTTCAGCAATGAAGGGACCGACTCAAAAGATATAAGTATGGCATAGTTTTGATTGACCTGTATCATTACAGATATGCCTGCCAAGTCTGGTGCTGTCGTATGGAGTCTTTCTAGTTCACCTAGCGGAACTTGACGTTCCTCTGTGGCAAGGCTTCGGTGCAACGACAATATTTATAGTCACCTATGGGTTATCACGTAAGTCCAATTTTATTCTAATAGTATCTAGTCTAACTCTATAAATAATAGGTCATCATCTGTGTCGACGTGAATGATTAATTTAGTCATATTAATATAGTAAACATCATTAAAATATTTACCTTAAGTGCGTTTTTTTTAAAATAATTATTTATGTGTTTGTTGTGAGCCTCCGCGACGGTACTACCTATAATTGCCTCATTCCTGTCCCAAAGCAGTCATACGTTCCTTTTCGAACTTCGGTCTCATGTTTGTTTTGGTAGTCACTCGACGTCAAGCGGTTTGTGAGCTGGTATGCGTGTCAGCTTTTTTTTTCTACTTAAGCTGATAGCCTTGAGAGGCTATTTCAGCGTAACCTTAACTAGTAGGTGAGCTCACGGGGCTCAAACCGGAGTGATGCTAACATTGACCCTAGCAAGGGCAGTGCTTCGCAGAATCTACCACCGGATCGGAAACGCGACCCACTGAGAAGATCCGGCGAGAAACTCAGTGGGCTGTGTCTATGGGTCAATTTACTCGTCGAGCCCTTCGTCGCAAGCGACGGGTTCGACGAGGACGGTGACCGGTGCGTGTCAGACTGAGTAAACGGTTATTTAGGTACTTGTTTCTCGGTTGTTTCACAAACCGAATAACGAATTTGATTATCATATTATTAAGACGATCTTGAAGTATTTAATATTTCAAAAACTACATATCATGTTAATGTCCAAATATGTGTACATTCATTGATGACTTTTGATGTTATTAAACTATTATTATATTTGCTGGTACCCCTGAACTGGTTATTAACTTTGGACATTTTTATTAACATTTACTATTTTTATNCTTCACAAACCGAATAACGAATTTGATTATCATATTATTAAGACGATCTTGAAGTATTTAATATTTCAAAAACTACATATCATGTTAATGTCCAAATATGTGTACATTCATTGATGACTTTTGATGTTATTAAACTATTATTATATTTGCTGGTACCCCTGAACTGGTTATTAACTTTGGACATTTTTATTAACATTTACTATTTTTATTATGTTCTATTATGTCTTAAAACCTTATTTGTTCTATTAAATAGGTAGAATAGAAATATTGTTAGCATAGAATATTTGTTTTGCATGACATCCAAATGAATAATAATAATTGAGACAAATGCAGAATAATATTAAAAGTTCTTCCAGTTCACATTACATTTTATCCTTAGGAATTAATTACCTATCCATCACAGTAGTAGTCAAATAGTTATTTCATATTATAATAATATACGCTACCGTTTACATATATACCTACGTATATATCTATTCATAATGTGTATATATAATATATGTATTGCCAATAGTACACCGCATCATACCTGCTATATCATTATCTTTTCCAGCATTTCTGTAAATTAAACGGTTGTCTGGAAGAGATTGCTTTTAGCGATAAGACCGCTGTACAAATGTTTCTGCTTTTTGACTGTTTTTCATTGTTCATTGTGTTTTGGTGTGCAATGAAGTGTATTCTCTCTCTCTCGTCAGTAACGAAGTCAGGTAGATCTAAACAGCCTCAGATAAAAGTTTTCGTTGTATTGTAATTTCATAACACTTAATGTCGTTATAACCTAATTTCAAAAGTGGTGTGGAGGAGACTAACAATATTATATTTTCTTGTGTACACTTGTTTTTGCATATAATATTCGCTGGGCCAATCTGAAGATTTCCTGAAAATTTCATCGAAATCGGTCGAACCGTTTGCGAGTCTCTGGGGAAATATACAAATACGAAGATCAATTTTGATGTTTATATGAGGTACATATAATATGTTTTTGTTTTTATATACCTACTAACTTTTTGCATGTTACAGAATGTTGGTGCAGAGATGCCGCCGACTCTTGGGGAGGAACAATAGGATATCGAGTAATGGCGGCTATAGGACTGTGGACAATTGTAATAGGACTTCTTGTTTGTGCATTTGTGTCCTATCAGATACAGCCCATTATTTATGGCATTCTCGGAGGTTAGAGTTATTTATAATTTGAAAATAGAATTGCTTTAACAAAAACCGACTTCAAATAGAATAAAATAATATTCCAAACCAAGTTAATATACACTAAAAACAATAATCATCGAAATCGGTTGGCGTGATATTGGGTAATTGAGTTATTTATCTATTTGTCTATTACTATTCACTGGTGGTAGGACCCCTTGGGAGTCCGCACGGGTAGGTACCACCACCCCGCCTATTTCCGCCGTGAAGCAGTAATGCGTTTCGGTTTGAAGGGTGGAGTAGACGTTGTAACTATACTGAGATCTTAGAACTTATATCTCGAGGTGGGTGGCGCATTTACGTTGTAGATGTCTATGGGCTCCAGTAACCACTTAAAACCAGGTGAGCTGTGAGCTCGTCCATCCATCTAAGCAATAAAAAAAAAAATTGTCGCGCACGTACTTAATGCAATTTTTTTATTTTTTTTATTGCTTAGATGTGGATGTGCTCACAGGCCACCTGGTGTTCAGTGGTTATTGGAGCCCATAGACATCTACAACGTAAATGCCGCCACTCACCCTGAGGTCTTAGTTCAAGGTCTCAGTATAGTTACAACGGCTGCCCCACCCTTCATACCGAAACGCATTACTGCTTCACGGCAGAAATAAGCAGGGCGGTGGTACCTACCCGTGCGGACTCACAGGGGTCCTACCACGTGTAAGTTTAAGACTTATATGATTTTGTCATGGGTACCATTATCAGAACTGGACTACACTATAAACTGGACCACACGGGAAGCGTCAACTTTCTAATAAAAAAAGAATCATCAAAATCGATTCATCCAGTCAAAAGTTATGAGGTAACAAGCATAAAAAAACATACAGTCGAATTGAGAACATCCTCCTTTTTGAAGTCGGTTAAAAATGGATATTATTTTCCTAACCAATTTAATTTCGCTTGAATCTTTAATATAATAATATTTTCTTATGTTCAGGGTTAGGGTCATCTCTTATATCAGCTCAAGTGGATGCCGTTGTGTTTGAAACATACGATTCGCGTCTGGGATTGATACGAGGAACATGCTTCGCAGGCCAAGCGGTTGGTCAAGCGCTCTTTCCTCATTTATTAACGGAGCTTATTGAGACATATGGTTACTCATTCTCATTCATTGTTTATTCAGGAATATTATTACAAGCATTGCCGGCGATTTTACTATTAAGAGTTAACGATAGTGTCAAAAAGCCCTTATCGTTTTCACGATATTCCGATTTGGCTAAAACATATGCAATTTTTAGTAATGAAGGCTTGGACAACAATTATTACACAGCAGAGGTGCAATTACATGACTTAAGTAAAAAATGTTGGAAAAGTCCATCAGATGACAATTTACATCGGGAAGTTGATTTGAATAATGATGAAGTAGGCTTTGAAAATGACAATTCGACCATAACCCCACCACCCAGCCCTGAAGAAAAGCGGAGAAACATTTTTGGAGTCGAAATATTACCTGAAATCCCAGAGGAAAGTGAGGATGAAGACGAAGAATTTTACGCAAGCGATAAAGATGTGAACATGAACAAGAAAAGACTAAGTAACGCTATCAAAAGACTGAGTACTTTAGGTGACAGCCTAGACGATTACATAAACAAACAGATAAGAAGGGATTCTCGTCAAAGTGAAAATAGTGATATAAATGAATATTCTGAGGTTGAAGTCACGTATGATAATATCTCACCGGTAACAGATATACAACGAGAAAAAATATTTAATTCATTTAGTTTTCGATGTCATTCTGCTTACGCCAGTATGAGAAGAAGAATGTGGATGCCTTCTTATAGAGTGTATAGAATTAAAAGAAGATTGCTGTATTTCATGTACAATTTGAACGATACCTTCATAAAGCCTTTAACGAGATCATTATCTTGTTGGAAATTTTATCCATCTTTATTGCTTGCATTTACGAAATTAAGTTTAACCGGGATATCTTTTGTTTTACTTCCGATATTGGGAACACAGATTCTACCACCGATCTCAACAACGGAAATAAATTTCTTCATGTCTCTGCACGGTTTTACTTGGGTGTGTTTTTTATTAAGCACTCCATGGTTGGCACAGACTCCGAAGAGAAATTACAAATATGTTGCGGTCTTAGGTTTAGTGACATCGACCGGTGCTTGTTTTCGTAAGTTCATTTTTTTAACTCCATTTTTTTTCTCGTTGAAAGTGTTCTTAAAAATGGTTGCTTTGCAGTTTTGGCGGAAGCTCACAATCATGACACTTTTTCGATTGGATGCGTCGTGGCAGGCTTCGGCTATGGTGCAATTACATCATGTTGTGAAACAGCTATTCAAGATTTTGTTGGAGCGCGAAAGTGGCCTAAAATCCACAGTACTTTGGAAACGTTATCAGCCGTATTGTTTGGTGTATTTTCTCTGGGTTCATCTTTCTTGTTCAGTGAAGAGGGGGGACTTCAGTTTGCCTTGTTTATATTAGGAGTATTGTTATCAGTCGTTACATTCGTTTGGTTAATACTGGCTTTAGTTTCAATTTACATAACGAAGGTACGATCAGCGAGACTCGGAAGACGTTGGCTATCGTAACTATGTTCTAACTTCCATAAGTTATTTAAAACATCGAACAGAGAATATTTTGATAATTATAATTGCTAATTAACATATTTTGTATTGTATTGTTGTAAATAATAAATCATTATACTTAATATATTGTTAAATGGTAAAAAATATTGTTTTTGCAAGGAGTTTTACCACAAACTTACATTTTCAATGAAATATATGTACGTCTATGGTTTTGATAAACATTGCACGTAGTAAGTGGTTATTAATTGAAATAAATTATTTATTTAGAGAGGTACTTGATTAGCGTACTTGTTTACGTTTATTTGTATATAGTCATCTATGTAACTGATTGTACTTCTAATTGCAGATCATACGATGTTGATGTTTTCATACTATCTCGAAAGTCCTTGTGCCATATGATATTTTTATGAAATATCGTATAGCTATTATATTTGATGATACTCATTCTACTTGTTTTTATTAAATAAATTACAAAAGATATTGTGCAACTAATTTATTTGGTGAAGGTCATTAACGGCGGTCTGGTGTAGTGGTAAGTGACATGGTCACTACACAAGGGGGTGGCGTATTCAAGTCCCGTCAGGGGAAGATATTTGTATGATAAATATTAAAATGTCTTTTTTCTCCTACCTACGCCGAAAGTTCGGTTTTCGTCCCGCCGTACAGGGAAGAAAGTCTAACTGTTTCTCCCTGGGTACTGACAAGTGTGCATGCGCATTAGTGTCTACGTCTGCTCTCACGCACCTAAAATTCTCCGCCATTGTTGTGCTCGGGTAATTTGCAATATTGTGTTTAGTGTAAAAGTGAAACAAACAAAAGGCAATAAAATTTAATAGTGAAGTATTAAACAAAGATGAGTTCATCAGATAGTTCTTATTCAATTAGTAGAAGTTTATTTAAAAATTAAAAAAACAGTTAAATTGTTTTTTTCATGTACCCCCCATGTAAGCCCCTGCCAGGGCTTCACCCCTGGACCCCACCAGGGCTTCGCCCCTGGACCCCGGCTCGGTACTCCACGGGTGCTAAGTTTTTTACAATGTTTAACTTTTGGCCTGGTAGGAGAAAAAATAGTATGTGCACCGCGGGAAAAAAGTAGGACATCTCAGCCCGCGTGTTTACAAATTTTCTTCAGTGTAAAATAGCACGCGGGAGAAAATTTCCAACTTTCCTCCCTTAGGTGCACAATGTACTATTCCAGGGTTATGGATGTATATGAAATATATGTATGTGTAGAATAAAAACCTTACATTTATTTCCGTTATCTGGCACCTGTATCACAAGTTCCTGTTCTTTACGAACTTAGCACGGGACCAGTTAACGAGGCGTGATTTTTAGTAAATATTCATTTATTAAACATTAACCTGTAAACCGTAGCCCATTAACCATACTAGTTCCACTGAGTCATCGTGACTTTGAGTGGTGCGTCTAGATATATCGGGGTTCAAATTCCGGTGACATTAAGCAATATTTTTAATGATATACGTATCTAACACGTGTTCACGAAATACTTTTACGATGTCGTATTTACATTGCGTAATAAAAATAAATCCGAAAAATATACTTAAGCTTACGTAATGACTACACAGTTAGGGCGTATGTGAGGTCTTGTTTCAAGGTTTTTACTGGTGGTAGGACCTCTTGTGAGTTCGCACGGGTAGGTACCACCGCCCCGCCTATTTCTGCCGTGAAGCAGTAATGCGTTTCGGTTTGAAGGGTGGGGCAGCCGTTGTAACTATACTGAGACCTTAGAACTTATATTTCAAGGTGTGTGGCGCATTTACGTTGTAGATGTCTATGGGTTCCAGTAACCGCTTAACACCAGGTCGGCTGTGAGCTCGTCCACACATCTAGGCAATAAAAAAAAAGAGGTTGTTAGCGTGACTTTTTGATGTCTATGAGCTCTCACTCAACACCAGGTAGGCCGGGAGCTCATTCACCCGTCTAGTGTATCAAACAAAACTCATTATTTGTATCTTTTTCGTGAGAATTATTAATGCGCAAATATTAAAATACGCGTAGTTACGTAAATTCAGTAATACTTATCTAAACCGAAACTTTTACGATGCAGTTCAGTCAACGGAATATTTTTTTGTCTTCAGTATTTGAATGCACTCGGGTGAATACGTTTTTGACTCACTTTAACCAAATAAGCATCGCTTTAATAGAGAAACAAGACGCAGGAAATGGGGTGTCAACTTTATTTGCTCAACGTAGACCTAATCTAGTATGTAAACGAAACGCGTTTGTGTTCACAAGGGTTTATATCGTCATTCATAATGGCCGAGACTCATAGGAGATTGCCATTCGTCTACGCACCTCTCGAGATAAACTACAGAGTAGTTTAAAATTGAACGATTTAATGATCAAAGTGTTAGAGTGTAATTTAGAAAAATGTGGAATTGGCACGTAAAAGTGAGGAAACTCAACGATTTACAAGGAGTGATTTTGTTGGTGAGTGCTTATTATTTTTCGTGCTAGGGTGCTTATTATTTTTCCACAAAATAAATACCTATTTTGAAATAAATGTATCGCTAGTTCGTTACGTCATAAAATACAATGGTTGGTTTTAGGTGTTCGCGACACTACCGCTGATAGCATCGACGAATATCGACTGCCTTGGAAAAGCTTTTCATTGTGTTAATTCGACTCATTTCATGATATGTGTGGATATCGGCGCAGGGTTTTCAAGTACGATTGATGATTTCGTTATACCGTGCCCTCCTACAACAGTTTGCCAACAAAATAATCGATTTGAGTGTGAATTTCCACCGATCACGACACCTGCACCGACGTTACCGACAGTTAGCTACGTTAAAGAAAGCATCCAATGGCTCGATCCCACAAATCCGACCCACGAAAATATTATTCGATCGACACAGCTCGACACAACGATAAACGAAGCTTACAATACCATCAGCACAACAACCTTAGCAAATCTTGAAAACGACAATGAAATCACTACACGAGCGTTGGAAAAATATCCATTAGGATCAAGTGCTACGAAAGATTTTTTTTGGAATACTTCTCCAACGCTGGATGAAACAACTAGTCATTATAAAGAAAAACGGGAAAGTGTTTCAACAACTACGGAAGCTATATCGGAGAAATCGACGCTTAGTGTACAAAAAGAAACAACGGATGATAGTTTCATCGCAACTACTAGCCTACAAAATGAAAACATTCCTGTCGTAATTTCCACGCCGCATTCTAATGTGAATGACCCAATTGCAACATCAAGTTTCCAAACAACAGAGAAAAATATAAAATTATCGACAAAAGCGGAGTCTGAATATGTAAGCTATAAGCCAACGTATTTATCAAACTTAGTTTCTACAATGGAACCTGCTACCGAATATTATACATCGAATGACAATACTCAAACACCCAGAACTCAATATTTACCGATTACAACTTCAACAGATAGCGTTTACACAACTGCACCTACCATTGTAACAACGATAGCACAATTTATAGAAACATCTGCAATCACAAGTAACGTTTTGAATGATAGCAACAAAATAAATAGTGGAAATTCGGATATAAAGTCAACGACCAAAGCTTTTCAAGTACAATCTACGCTTGATACAAATAAAGAAAATACTCATGATGAAATTACTACTCCTGAAGTTAGTCTAAGTGTAAACCAAAACATTCGACCTGCGGTCTCTGTCACTAATCATGTAATTCCAACTGATTCAAGTTATGTTTCGACTTTAGCTGCTGGTTCTACTGATGACGATAAATTGATTACCGGTATTTCTACCGAATCATTGTCTGTTACTGATAAAATTATATTGGAAGGCAATCATAAACAGTTTAATGACGTCATTCCAATTATTACATATACTACGACAAGTGACGCTTTTGCATCCAAACCTATGACTGAAATTGATTATTCTAGTATGACGGAATCAAGTTTAAAAATTAGAGCAGATGACGAAATCAACCCGATTGCAAATGAGGTCACTACTATAATGGATAGTATTTTAGTAGAAAAAACGAAATCTACAGCTTATGTAATGGACGATGTAATAAGTTCCACCACAACGGAAGATTCGGTTTCTCAAATCATAAAAAGTCCCCTTATATTTGATAAATTGAATTCGACCGTATCGAATGTAAAAAGTTACACAAATTTTGCCGATACAACTACTGATAACAGCAATCTAAATTCAGTAAAAATAAGTGGTTCATCCGAACCTATTGTGATAACCACACCCAAATTGTCTACATCCATCGATGCTACCGATATTAAAAATCTAATTTCAATTGACTTTGACACAACAGTATACACAACTACAGAAAACACCTTATTTAAGGAAAAGCAGAAAGATAAGCTCAGTAACAGAATTTCAGCAGCAATTGTTCAAGCCGACGCACCATCATTTGAAACTATGGATACAACATCGTCTGTTCCAACGGATACCAGTACAACAGACAAATTCAATCCGTATGTTACTATATTGGACGAATCAAAAGCTTTTTCAACAGTTTCATTAAGCAATGTTCCCACTGCGATTCCTTCAAGTATAAAGACAATAAATACAAATACTTCTACAACCGTATATAATTATACGGAGTCTACGACATCAAATGTGTTAAAAGCTCAGAGTTTGAAAACAATTGAAAATGATTTGGAACAGGAATCATCCGTTATTAAAAATAATAACTTACAAGTGCCTCCTCAACCAATCAATCAGTCCTGGAATACGACAGCAACATTTGTAACAAATTCTACTACTGCAAGTGAATTGGATACGGCTGGCATTGTTGTGACTACAGAAATAGCCACATTAACTTCATCACTGAGTAATTCACTAAAAAATGAATCTGCATTTGGTACGGAAAATGATTATTACCAAAAAAATATTGCAACGTTTGGACTAATTAATGCTGCACAGAAAGTGACAGAACTAGAACAAAGGACAAACGGTTTAGATGATGAAATTCAATCTACAACACCAACTATATTCAATGAAATTGAAAAACCGGTAACTGACACAATTCATTTTAATGAAGCGACGCAATCGTATACCAAATTATATAAGAAAGAAAATAAAACTAAATCAGAAATTAATGATACACCGATTCCGTTTTCTCTGACCAATAACAGTTTACCCGCTGGAAAATCGACTTTAAATAGTACGAGTGTGGGTCAGAGTACCTTAGACCAGTTGTCTTCTGATTACCCTGATGACCTTAAACAAGTAAATAATGTAGGAAGTGGGTTGAAAAACGTGAACAGTGAAGCAGTTATACAAGAGAGTCAGATTACAACTTCACAAATAGTGTTCGATGAGGTGTTGGGGAAAGAATTAGTATTAGGAGCAGAACTATCAACTTTAATTGGTATCGAAAAACCTAACTTAATGCGCACGGTAGAGGATACCGGTGAATTACAGATTCAGAATTCCCTCAAGACAATACCACTTAGGTCATCACCGACATCAAGTCTGAAAATCGAGTCACCTGGGTTACCGTTGGTAGGTACTGTACGGGATTCTGAAATTAACGGGAAAATCTTAGAAGTCGCTAAAAATGATCCCGCAGCAGAAATTAGTAACCGAAAAAATTCAAAAGATGGAACTCCAACACTAAAAATTTTTGTAGATTCACAGCCAAAAGTTCGATTATATTCTGAGCCAACTGTAAGCTATTCTAAGAGTGAAGATCTAACTTTTTCACACTACACTGTTACAGAACCTTCTCAGAAAGTACAAGACTTTGTGAATAGTGCGGCAGTTATGGATAATATTGGAAACGAAGGACACAAACATGTTTCACTGCAAAAGAGTGATAGTGAATACAATTCTGTGCAGATTTATAAACAACCAGAATCAGTCTCTACCACACCCAGCATTTTGGACGATAGAAATTTCGATCAAATTTTATTGAATGATGAAAAAGTGGCTTCAACAATCTATCCAGATTTAAAAAAGGCCACAAAACTAGTAAAGGTAGCTGAGATTCCTAGTAAAGGGACACGAACAATTGATCTAGAAACTATCACCTATCTAGAAAATAAAGAGAATATCGCAAAAAGTGAACCGACTCCTCCTTCAAAAACGAATTACGAAGCCACGAGCCTAAACCAAAATATAGATGCCGTAATTGAAAATAATTCTAAACTGAAGTCGACCATAAAAACTCGTGTGAATGTGGAATCTAACAATAATAATGATGGCAGAGTGAACACACAAAAATTGAGTGACACAGAACAGACAATAGCATCAAAGGCTACTAATTCTTATAATCTAAAAAAATTAGAGGCAACCGTAAATCGTGAAAATAACAAAGATAAAACCGTTTCAACGATACTCAACTTATCATTCAATTGTCAGTACAAGAGTAGAGGAAGATACGGTGATAACAAAGATTGTAGAAAGTTCTATATTTGCATAGGAAGAAAACAACCTATTACTGGAAGGTGCCCCGAAAACACAGTATTCAGTGAAGTAAGAAAACAATGCACAAAAAACTTATCATATTGCGTGAGAAATAATCGATTCATGTGTGTGTCAAAAGGCAGGTACATCGACATTAAAAATAATGACCTTTACTATATTTGTGTTAGAAACGGAAATAGAACATTTGTGAGATATACATTTCAATGTCAAAACGGTTATTATTTGAATAAAATTTTAGTTAGATGTTTACCAATCACAAGTTCTGATAATGTCTCCAAAATAGTGGTTACCAAAGTAAAGAAAGATAAGGAAAAACTAGCTATTAAAAAATCGGCTAAAAGCGAAAGCTCTAGAAAAAATAGCGATCAAAGTATCAACCAAAATAATTCTGGGGAATCTGATAAAAACAGTGAATTGATTGAGTCTGTATGTGATGATGTTGGAAAATATTCTGATCCAGATGATTGCAGAATATATTACATTTGTTATAAAAATGGAAAGTCTGAAATGAAAATTAAGAAGAAAAAGTGCGAAAGCGATGAGGTTTTCCATAAGAAGCAAAAAAGATGTGTTGACGCTGAAAGTTACGAATGTTCTACTAATTAAATAACCTTTTTGATTAAATAACGAATCACATTATTCAAATTTAATATTTTACTTTTTTTAAATTACACCACGTATGTATCAATTTTATTTTAGTTTTATTTTAAATTAAATCATCAATTTCATATTTAAAATTATATCATATCATATTTAAATTAGATTGCGTAACGACTTTTATGTTGGCTTCGATCACTTTTTAAAAGGCCTGACGTTCTTTATAAGAGCGGTCGCGAGGTAGTACTTTGATATGCAGCTAAATGATATGGGAAATATTTGAGAATATATCTTTAACGATCTTTAAGTCATCATGACGTCTGTTGTATTCGTATGCATACATCAATGCGACTATGCCAGTGTACAAATTCCCCAGGCAGGTACCATATCTAAAGAAATAGTTACTTAACTCATGTTCACGAATGACTTCTATGGGTTTTATAGCCACACAATTGACACATAGACTTCATGTTGCAAGGTGTATGGACAATTCTTGGGCAACGTCTAACCACTCAGTACTAGGTAGGTACTAAGCTCGTTCACCCATCTACGCAAAAAATAAATAAAAATTCAAGCGATCGTCGTATTCGATATAGTACGTAAGTATGGAAAGGTTGGTAAAAAGAAATAACACGATCTTTTGATGGCATCGGTTCTTTTAATATCTTTAGTTTCTCTTTTGTTGGCTTATTTTGTTCATATTGCGTGCGTCTAATCATCACATATATTTAGTGGTAGGTTGTAAACCAATAGTCAGTAACAGCGGTAGTTTTGTTTCAAACATCACATTCTTGGCTTTCGATATGCCACTCCAGTTCTGTGTAAAAATTGATCTTCGCTATCTCTTTCTAGGGTAATACAAAACTGATTGGAAAATATAGTACATCGTACTGAATTTTCGCCTACAACAGGCCGCGAGGGACAGAAGTAAGTCGCTTTTACGGGAACACTATCCTGCGTAACTGAAAATTTATAATTTCTGCATTCGATTGGTTTTGGTTTTTGTGCAGGATTTTCGGAATTTCTGTTCTTTAAATTTCCCTGATACGTATCGATTCTTCTGTTTTCGTTAAATAATTCGAGTCCGTTCTTCGTAGAGTTTAATAGAGGACATCTATATTTAGTCGGCGCTGAACAAGTCCTTGTGAAGCCATTGAATATCGTATTGCCAGAGCATTTGAATTTTATGCCTTGAAAGCGACTTTTGTTTGGAATACAGAGGATGTATCCTTTGCAGCCGGGCACGCTCGGATCTGCGATCCTCTCGTTCCGATGGCAACGTACCGCTTTATTGAAGCCAGGATCTATATAGTTAACGGTGTTCTCACACACGTCGCTGGAATCTTCGTTGCACACTGTGTTTGGCGGGCAAAGGAACGCAGGGCCAATTATGTTGTCTCCCTCGCATAGCCTCACTTTATTATTTGGCTCGCAAATAAATCCATACGGACCGCAGTCGAAGTTCGTTGTGCGATAGGCAATCGCTGAATTCACAATTAACTGTAATTAAATATTAGCATTGTTATATTTTGATATCTCGTTACTTGTGATTTTAAGTATGAGGCAAGTGTTCGTGTGAATTTCAAATGATCGTTGAATAAGCATTATAAACAGTAGTCGTAATTTTCATCAAAGATATGAAAATGTTAAGCGCTGTCGTGATAAAACATTTCGGTGACACAAATACTCGTCGGTACAGGGTATTCACCTTTTTTGTACCTAAAGATATAACGTAATTTAAGGATCTTTTTAATTTATCTACATTAAGTAATTAAGATCGGAATCTAGTTTTTATTTATTAAATGAAAACAAAAGGCGCAATGAAAATACTAATAGTAACAGAGAAAGTTAAACATCCATAATTCTAACTAACTTAATTATCATTTATTATCTTGTTTGACTTAGCTTTTCTCGGCCTATTCAAATTTGCAGGTTGATGAAACAAACAATGTTCGCTAAATTTATTTTATGTACTCACTGCGAAAGTAAAAAATTCTAAATTCGTAGATAGCATTTTCCTGGTCCAATCTTCTAGAGTACAAAATCACAACTAAAGGATAAACACAGCTTTTCACGTACCTCTGACATTTAGAAAGCTATTATCATGTTTAACACCTTCCATAGTACATGTGGAATAACAGTCCACGATGTCATGTCGCGTGTTCGTCCAAATGATGGTTTAACGGTACAAACTACAATTTCGTAGGTATATCTATGGACTACATACTTGTGAAATACATAAATATCAACCTTTAATCTCGTTAAATGATTAATTTTTAATTTGGATCTATGACACTTATTGTCTTGTTCTCTGGAGGTTAGGGATCCTCTTTCCAATGGGAAGACGAGACTAGTGTGGATGATCCCGACGCTATTACATAAAACAATTTTTGTAAACGTTTTTGGGCACTGCACGCAATGTTTGGAAAGCTGGTAAAACGCGGATCAACGGTCTTTGATTTAGATTGCTGGTTCAAAAAATATGATCTTTCTACAACGATTAATATTTGTGCTAAGTTTAGCAAATTAAATTGATCTATTGTGCATAGTTCCTCAGATCTTGCTTGGTTAAAATTCTTTAAAATGATAGCTATTATTAGATCAGATAATTTCTTGGGAGTGATTTTTGGTTGCTCTATATTAACGGACGAGCTCACATTATTGGGATTTCAAAGAAATCAAAACGTGAGATATGAGTCGAAGCCTCAATCGTTATAAAACGGAAACTGACTGCTTTGTAGGAGAAATACGCGGGGTCTTTGTAGGCGGATATACGCCGTACACAGCCCACCGTTTTAAACTTCAAACGCAACATGACATTGACTATGTCAATACATTAACACCAAGCCAAATGTGAGCACTTATAAACACACAAATCTGCTCTTCGCACGCTTTCCTCATTACTGAGGGTCGTGACTCCCCCGCTGCATCATTTTGTCACGTATAATCTCCCTTAATCTGCTACGATTCTTATTATATTTTTTTATTGCCCTTGTAGGCAGACCAGCGCACGGCCCACCTGATGGTGAGTGGTTACCGTCGCCCATGGACTTCAGCAATGCCAGCAATGGCAAAGCCAAGCCGCTGCCTACTGAACGTCTTAGTTTCGTTACGAGGGCAGCACTGAAAATTTCGGGAATTAACGAAGTGACCCAACATTACTATTTAAAAATGTATTTATTGCTTTTCGAAGTATTCTCCGCGAAATTTGACACATTTTTTCATACGATGGAACCAATCATTGAAGCAACCATTCCATTCGGAAGTTGGGGTCTCCAAAATGGCCGTTTTGTAGGCGTCCACAGCTTCTTCAGGTGATGAAAATCTCTGTCCACGCAATTTATTCTTTATTTTAGGGAAAGTATAGAAATCATTAGGGCTTAGGTCGGGGCTGTACGGCGGATGGTCTAATAATTCTATGTTTTCTTGCTCTAAAAACTCTTTTGTTCTGTGCGCGGTGTGAGAACTCGCATTGTCGTGATGGAGGATGATGCGGCGGTTGCAGTTCTCTTTACGGAGTTCAGAAACGACCTGTGGCAAACAAATGCTAGCATACCATTCTGCATTAACCGTTCTTTGTCCCTCAAGAGGAATAGTCGTAACATGGCCGGTTTTGGAGACAAACGTGGCCACCATTTTTTTTGCAACACTCCGTGAACGAACAATTTTTGTTGGCTTTAACTCATTTTCGAACACCCAAACTCGTGACTGGTTTTTTGTTTCGGGTTCGTACGCGTATATCCAGGATTCGTCACCTGATACAATGTTGTATACAGCATTTGAGGATCCTGCGTGGAATCTTTCGAGAGTTCTGACGCACCAAGTAACGCGAGCCGCTTTTTGCTCTTCACAGAGCGAATGCGGTATCCATCGGGAAAACAACTTTTTTACACCTAATTGTTCATGCAAGATTATTTGTATTTGACTCATGCCAATGTCTAAAGTTGCCTGAATTTCGCGGTATGTCACATGTCGATCTTCCTCAATCAGCTTACGCACAGCATCAACGTTTTCTTGGGTGACTGCAGTTTTTGGACGACCTTGACGGGGATCATCACTGAGCTTGACACGTCCACGTTGAAACTCAGCAAACCAGCGATAAATTGTGGTTTTGGATGGGGCTTCATCACCAAATGCAGAAATCATCCGGTCAACACACTGTTTTTGTGTTAAACCACTTCGAAAGTCATAATAAATCATCGCTTTTGAATTTTCTCGAGTCAATTCCATTTTCTCAACGACTAAACAAGCTTGACAAAACCTCGTGACAAGACCGATAATCTTTTTTTAAATAAATAAATGGTATTCGATTTTTGAAACCAAGGAGTTTTCAATTAAAAATATTTTAAAATGACAGGAACAGTGGAAATATTCCATTCCCGATACTTTTAGTGCAGCCTAGTAAAGGCATCGTGGAACTTGATGTTCAGAGAAGATTGAATTTGGTCTGACCATCTCGTGGGACTGCGTCCTTTGGGAAGTTTGCTATCTATCTCACCTGTCACCATCAGCTGTTCGAGATTGTGACCCTCTTCTAGATGGATTTACGTCTAGGCCCATGAAGTCCGGGCCTGGGGCGGCATGAAGGATCGGCAAAATTTTTGAAATTCCAAAATTTTAGAGACGATAAAAGTAAAGACAGTCTCCTTTGAAACATACTTGACTAATTTGTATAAAAAAACATTGAATTATACTAAAAATATATATTTATTTATTTGTCTAATGTTTATTAGTTATAATTAAAAAAATTAATCTAAGAAAATAAAGTTAATTTAAATTTAAAAGGGCGGCGCGACAAACATGGCCTGAGGCGGCTTCAAGCCTAAATCCATCACTGCCCTCTTCTAGCAATTTACCACTCAACACGTAATGTAATTTTACCCTGCCCAATCTCGAATCTGCGAGTTTGTTAATGAAGAGCTTGTTACAACAACGATTCGATCACAATAGCAAATCGTGTTCTACAAGCACCAGCGATAAGATATTCATAGAATTGCACTCGACAATATTTACACAGTCACGAAAACAAGTACAATATATAGAATTAAGTAGAATGTTTGTTGCGTTTATAGCGGGATGTTTACTACAATTGTACCTTACGTATGACGTGTAAAAGTCAGCCCACTCAGAATTGCATAATATTATTAATTTCGAGATGGTTTTACTGGTGGTAGGACCTCTTGTGAGTCCGCACGGGTAGGTACCACCACCCCGCTTATTTCTGCCGTGAAACAGTAATGCGTTTCGGTTTGAAGGGTGGGGCAGCCGTTGTGACTATACGGAGACCTTAGAACTTATATCTCAAGGTGTGTGGCGCATTTACGTTGTAGATGTCTATGGGCTTCAGTAACCACTTAACACCAGGTGGGCTGAGCTCGTCCACACGTCTAAGCAATAAAAAAAAAATATGGGAGGTTTAAGGTCCATCCACGTTAGATCTCTATGGATATCCGGTCCATGATTTAAACGTTTCAAATTGTAATTAATTACATTTATGTATAACTCAAGAAACAAAAAAATAAGAAACAGTACACACACTGTAATCAGTGTAATTTTTTGGTAGCAAAATTTTATTTTTGGAATTCTTTTTTTTTTGTAATGACGCATTATTTGTTTTGATTTACTGTTAAGATACATTAGGTTTATTAATGAGTCAGTTGACTGCAGAGCTTGAGTGGGGATATGCGGTAACTTTCTGAGTAATACATTAGTGTTTTTTTAGACGCAATTACTTTAATATGATATTTTTCGATTGCCCTATTGTTTATTCTACCCACACTCTTAGTTTCGGCACTTTTTTATTTTTATTCTAGTGACCTCGAGGGGTCATACTAGATTCACGGAGCGACGTCACGGGGCTCAAACTTGATGATGTCGCTAACACTAGCCCCAGCAACAGCAGTGCTTCGAAGTATCTATCACCAGATTGGAAACGCGACTCATTGAAAAAATGCGGCGAGAAATTCAGTTGGCTGTGTCTATGGGTCAATTTACTCGCCGAACCCTTTGTTGCAAGCGACGGGTTCGACGAGGACGGTGAGCGGTGCTTGGGGTACCTAAAAGCACCGTTAATGGATCGGGAAGATCCGAAGTGTTTAGGGCGACGTCGACTGTTTACCATTCGGCCCACAGGATCGGGTATGTAATTTCCAGTGGCCACGACAAGAGGGTTTTCGTGTCGTGTCGCCTTCTCAAAATGAGGCACTGGTGCCGACTGTAAATATTTACTGATGGTGTCATTTCTGCACTAATTATTTTGCACATTTTTATATCAGACTGCAACGTTTTTTACCGTGAATAGGTGTTGCCAATAATTCGCGGGAAAAATTCCGGGGATACTTGGGATTCATTGGACCGAACACAGAACCAACGAATCTATTTTTACCGAGCTCAAGGTTCCGATGCCACTCAGTACAATACGCGCGCGGGGGAGTTTAGAGTTCTTTGGAGAAGGCCCAGAGGCAGAAGTCCATGCGTTGGTCATACCAGATATCACTGGTGGTAGGACCTCTTGGGAGTCCGCACGGGTAGGTACCACCACCCCGCCTATTTCTGCCGTGAAGCGTTTCGGTTCGAAGGGTGGGGTAGCCGTTGTAACTATACTGAGACCTTAGAACTTATATCTCGAGGTGGGTGGCGCGTTTACGATGTAGATGTCTATGGGCTCCAGTAACCACTTAACACCAGGTGGGCTGTGAGCTCGTCCACACATCTAAGCAATAAAAAAATGATATGCACTATCCTCAATCCATTAGTCAACGATGCCATCCCCGCAGCCGAGGATAGGCAGGGCTGGAGCAGGATAGTCTTGGAAAAAGTTATCAAGGGAGGCCGCGACCTTCGGCATAGAGGATTATCGGCGCAAGGAAGCGGAGGGGAAAGTCACGGGGCACATATAACATTTATTATAAATAAAATTCTAAAACTAATGAAAGTATTAAAACACAATATTACGTACCTAAATGCATTTAATGAAGCGATCTAGTGATTACAATAATCCTATAATAGTCTAGTCTTCATCGGATGACGATTCGGAATCGCTTTCCGAACTGGTCGACGATTCTGAATCGCGTATTGCAGTTCCAGTCTTGGCTCTGTGTGCAAAATTAAGTCTTAGTTACTCTTTCACAAAGTCTTAGTAACTTTACTGGTGGTAGGACCTCTTGTGAGTCCGCACGGGTAGATACCACCGCCCTGCCTATTTCTGCCGTGAAGCAGTAATGCGTTTCGGCTAGAAGGGTGGGGCAGCCGTTGTAACTATACTTGAGACCTTAGAACTTATATTTCAAGATGGGTGGCGCATTTACGTTGTAGATGTCTATGGGCTCCAGTAACCACTTAACACCAGGTGGGCTGTGAGCTCGTCCACCCTACTAAGCAATAAAAAAAAAAGTTAATGGCTTCGAACTATCGAACTTGTGTTCTGTTTATCACAGATAAAACAGTCCCTTTCATCAAATAGGGTTGTGAATATTTCAGGGTACTTTTTAACTTAATCTTACATACGAAATATCGTAGATTTCGCTAATATATTCGAAAAGGCGTAACTAATGTGTTTATGAAGCAAGCAATGAACAACAAAAACCAACTATTGCGAGGGTTTTGCAGTCTATTACTCTCTCGTAAAAGAAACAACCCAAAGGTCACTGCTGCAAAGTTACTTATGGTTACGAACTGAACGATGGAACATCCGGACGTGGGTGGAGATATTCGTGTTGTGACGTCATCGAGTTACAGTACACACTTAATGCTAAGTAGGCTGGGAGAGCGATTCCACGTTGACGATAAAAAAATACAACCGTAAATCTATATATATATAAAAATGAATTGCTGTTCGTTAGTCTCGCTAAAACTCGAGAACGGCTGGACCGATTTGGCTAATTTTGAAAAAATATAAAAAAGCTCGGAATTATATAAAAACAAACAATTTTGTTTTTTCGTTGATGTATCCCCCGTCGAACGGATTCCTTTTGTTTGTTTTAAGTTTATAACTTAAACTTAGGTCTATTATTTATCGATTGAGGCACTACGAAGTCTGCCGGTTCAGCTAGTAGCAAATAAATCTGTAACTTTGAGAACCTGAGCGCTCGTGAACACTTACAGAAAAATAGTGAGCATATCGACGCTTGAAAGGCAAATGTGACTAAGCGTTCACAGTAGACTAATTTAAAGTTGAAATACCTGAAAAAAATTCTATTTTAACGAATCTAGCCGTAGGATTCAATTGATGATTTTAATAGACCTAGAAATATATATTTTTTTGCGCATTAATTATGGTTATTGCCTATCATTTATGTACAAAGCAGTTATTGTCGCTTAGTCACGTTTGCCTTTTAAGCGTCGATATAGATTAGTCTGGAATGAGCGCGTACGGGAGTTTTTTTTAATTTTTTTATTGCTAGATGGGTGGACGAGCTCACAGCCCACCTGGTGTTAAGTGGTTACTGGAGCCCATAGACATCTACGACGTAAATGCGCCAGCCACCTTGAGATATAAGTTCTAAGGTCTCAAGTATAGGTACAACGCCTGCCCCACCCTTCAGACCGAAACGCATTACTGCTTCACGGCAGAAATAGGCAGAGTGATGGTACCTACCCGTGCGGACTAACGAGAGGTCCTACCACCAGTAAAAGTAATGTACAAAGGAAATCTTACAAGTGGTAAGAGTGGAGTACAGCGAGCGCGGCGGGGTGCAGCGAGCCCGCCAGCGCGCCCGCCGGCTCCTGCAGCAGCGCGCGCACCTCCTCCTCGGGACGGTTCAGCATCGCGCCCAGCACGCGCGCGCTCGCACCCGCCGCCTCCTCGAACCCGCACTCCGCCAGGTAAGCTACGGCCATCTGACAGACAACATTACAATCGTTCAATAAAAAATAATGAGACTCGTTAACACATTCACTGACACTAATGCCAAACAGGGAGAGCAACAGTAAAAAAAAGTATCTATGTCAGTCTGGTAAACATCAGAGCCTTCGATTCGCCTCGAAGGCTCCGTCGGCTGGGCGTCCTTGAGGTGAGCCGCGCCGTCTGGTTGTAATGTTGACCGCGGTAACCCCCCTACCTCATCCGGGTTCTGACCTCGGAGGGGATCGGACTTCGGGTGTAAGAGTGCAGGGGAGTCGTTTAGTGGGTGGGCCTTAAAATTCCTTGGGCCCGCGGTCTGCTCACAACACCATGCAGATCGTTGAGTCTCACATACCCCGCGCGCCCCTTATGCACGGGGACCTCGTAGGAGGTGCGGCCCCGGCCCGAAAAAAAAAATCTCTGGTAAACATATCACAGGAAATCCTAATTTAGGGCCACACGACCGTGCTTGATTTGTTAACAATTATTTATTATTATTGTTTTAATTGAACTCGTTCATGATTTTCTATCAATTTTTTTTTTCAAATAAGTTTCTATTAGCAAATTTATTATAAATCTTTTTGGTAGAATTCAAAAACTTACCTTTTTGAATTCTACCAACAAGTTCAATTCAAAGTTTTATTTTTTATTTTTTTATTTCTTAGATGGGTGGACGAGCTCACAGCCTACTTGGTGTTAAGTGATTACTTTAGCCCATAGACATTTAAAACATAAATGCGCCACCCACCCTGAGATATAAGTTCTAAGGTCTCAGTATAGTCACAACGGCTGCCCCACCCTTCAAACCGAAACGCATTACTGCTTCACGGTAGAACTAGGCAGGGCGGTGGTACCCACCCGCGCGGACTCACGAGAGGTCCTACCACCAGTAATTACGCAAACAATAATTTTGCGGGTTTTGATTTTTATTACACGATGTTATTCCTTCACCGTGGAAGTCAATCGTGAACAATTTATGATACACTTACAGCAGCTATTTCTAGTTTTCCCATAGAGGCAGCCTTCTCGGCTAAGGTTGATATAGCTTCTGGCTTAGATGGAACTCCGGTGGCTTGCTCCTGTTTTAATTTATTGAGTGCAGTTTCCACACTGGTCCAGCGTTCGGAAGATTTATCTGACACGTCGGACAATAGCTCGATGATGTTCGAAAGCGCTGTTGCCGATAACCTGTATCGTACAATATATGAGTTCATTCATTTATTCAGAAAACGATTGTATAGTTCGACGAATGAATTAGTCTGTTTGTTTGAGATTGATGCTATGCATCACTACATAGTATAAAACAAAGTCGCTTTCTGTGTCCCTATATCTGTCCCTATGTATGCTTAAATCTTTAAAACTACACAACGAATTTTGATGCGTTAAATAGATAGGGTGATTGAAGAGGAAGGTTTATATTTATAATAATATCCATTAAATAGTGGAGAAATCAATAATAAATTACAGTTTCCGAAGCGAAGCGAGGGCGGGTCGCTAGTAATAAGGCAATTGCTTAAACAACTTAAAGGGCAGGATACTAATTTATAAATTTTTACCACAGACCTCGAAATAAACATATCACACATACGGTGCGATAACGCCACTTATACAAATTATGTAATATTTCACGAGAAACGTTGGAAAATTCCGTACATACCGAATTCGGAAAAATCAGAATTAGGTTTATCAGTATTACCTATAGTAAAAGTTTCAGGCTCGGCCTAGCTAAAGCATTAAAGTAGAGGAAGTTATATTTTAGATTTTTTGTGTTATACACTATGTGTGAAATCAGCTGACACGCTGATCTAAATATTAGATAAACGTACTTTTACAAATTTTCTCCTCTGCTTGTTCATAATTTTAGTATTTGTTTATTTCGTATTTAAGGACAATTTCGTTCAGTCGTAATTTTTTATTTTGGAAAAAATGTTAGTTTTGCCATATTTAACAAGTAATAATTTACAAAAAAATCAGTACATTCAATAAATCTAAATCTTGAGCTGTTTACTGGTATATAACATTCAAACTTGGATATTGTTAGCTCAATTTAAAATACATATACTGACTCTAAATGTACATACTTTTGTGAGACCGGTGATCTCTGGTCTCTGGATTCATCTTTTTGTTCTAAAGTCTCTCCATGTTTCAATATACTTTCAGCCGCTGATCGTATTTTCTCTTTTACATCTTCCTCTAAAAGAGTAAAAAAAAACACTTAGTTATTTATTTAGTCAGCTTTGTGTGCGCAACACACATGTACAATGACAAGTTTCAGAATTCAATGCTCAGTGAGACAGTCCTATTTGTTCTAGTTCTTATCATATACCGATTTAATAATATTTTATAAATTTTGCGTGATGTGTAATAAATACATATATTTGGAAAAGAGGGAACCCTTTAGTTCTTAGCCAATCCTTATCAGTGAAGTAACTGTATTCTGGACCTACGATAAAGTTTTTACAATTTAAAAGTGCATGTAAAGGGCTTGTTCAATTTAGTAAAAAAAACAGATTATTAACTTTGTTGTATATTTAATGAGATACGTACTTAGCATGTCATGACAGTCTTTCACGATGTGAGAATAAACTCGTATTTTCAAAATCAAACCAGCATAATTTATCCCTAATTAATTCGTGGTTTACATTTCGTTAAATTTTGCCTATTTCTGCCGCGACATCTTCGGCATCATTAAATTCAAGACTTGAACCATATGTATCAAGGTGGATTCGGATATAGACTTCCTTATGTACATAAATTCCGATAACTACTTGAGACTAGATTGGCTCTGAGTTTGTTTTCCTATCCAGAGTTCTAAAATAAGTAAGAATGTATTGTAACTCACCCTGATACTCGTAACAATTACATAAAGCTGAGAGCAGCCTTTCTACGAGTTTGGTTCGTTTCGCGTGTCCGAACACTATGATCTGGGACCACGCCTGTGTCAGTCGGTCGCCCGCGCCTGCCACTTCTAATGTTCTTATGATCTGTGGTTTTTCAATAAGTATTTTTTAGTCGTTTTGACTAATTACAGTAAAATGCACTTTGCAGCATATTTTAATATGGATTACAAATGTTGTGATGAAACCATAATTAGTAATATATACGTAATAATAACCATATATAATAATTATACGGCCGTCTGGTGTAGTTGTGACATGGTCACTACACAAGGGGGTCGCGAGTTCGAATCCCGCCAAGGGAAGATATTTGTATGATAAATATAAAAAAGGGTGCGTGTACTTATGTACGCGCGTAAGAAGTTATACTTTTTTTTATTAAATTTATTTCTTTTTTTTTATTTAAATTTTAATCAATTTGAAAAAAATCGATTAAACAACATCCTCAAACACGCATATTGGACATCCCTTTTCTTGACATCGTATAAATTCGGTAATTCTCGGTAGGGTTCGGAAAGTTCACCTGCGGCTGTATTCAGACTCGCCAAGTAACGTCGGTCGTATTGTAATGAGCGATTTAGTGGGCAACTTCATTCTATTAATTTTGTGTCACGGTGCGCCCGCATCGTAAAATTTCACTCTCATCAATTTTTCATAACGCGCCTAAATTATAGGTAACTTCAAAATGTCTTTTCTAGGGTTATGGATGTATATGATATATAATATGTATGTGTATAATAAAAATCTTACATTTATTTCCGTCATCTGGTACTTGTAACACAAGTTTACTTTACGAACTTAGCACGGGACCAGTTAACGTGGCGTGATTGTTAGTAAATTTTGTTTATTATTTATTTATTTAAAAAAATATATCTTTGTTTCAGTATGTAAATTATGTTAAATGTACTTTAGAAAGCAAATTTAAAAAAATAACTTAGCCCTTAAAGATTTGTTATATACTTGAAATCTTTTTTTTTTTTATTGCCTTTGTAGGCAGACGAGCGTACGGCCCACCCGATGGTAAGTGGTTACCGTCGCCCATAGACTTCAGCAATGCCAGGAGCAGAGCCAAGCCGCTGCCTACTGCCTAATACTCTCCACAAGCCTAGTTTGAAGAAGGACATGTCATAGCGTTCGGGAAACACCGTGGAGGGGAGCTCATTCCATAGCCGGATGGTACGTGGCAAAAAAGACCTCTGGAAACTCTACTCTGGATGGATGAACTCTACTCCGGTGGCGGGCGGTGCGATGGTAAAAACGAGACGTTGGTATCATCTCGAACAATTCCTCAGAGCACTCCCCATACAGGTGCCGAATATTATAGCTCATACTCGTTATTTATTCACATACCTCTTCCATTACCGATGGTTCCGGTATATAAATATTTGGTATTAGCGTGTCTAAATATTCGGTTGCTTTCTCGAATGGTGCATGCCTGTAAACAAAAGTAAATCAGCAAAGTTAAAACAAAGCAAAAAGTAGGACCTCTTACATTGGTGGTATGATCTTTTATGAGTCCGCACGGGTAGGTAACACCATCCTGCCTATTTGTGCCGTGAAGCAGCAATGCGTTTCAGTTTGAAGTGTTGGGCAACTCTTGTAACTATACCGAGACCTTAGAACTCTTATCTCAAGGTGGATGGCGGCATTTACGTTGTAGATATCTATGGACTCCGGTATCCATTTGACACCAGAAGGGCTGTGAGCTCGTCCACCCATCCATGAAATAAAAAATAAATAAATAAATAACAGCTCAGCGTGTGGATGTTCTCACGGCAGTCTAATCAATATCCTCGGTTCTCTTTTTATTACTACATTTTTTAATAATAGGGCGCATTTATCAGTCCGCACGATTAAGAATCACATTTCTGCCCATTTCTACCGTAGAACAGTGCTGCGTTATGATAAGGAGTCCAGTTCTTTACCCTTTATTTCGGTTTGTTAAAATTGTAAAAAAATATGTTAAATACCTGCAAGCAACAGTTACTAGATGTCTGTAGTATATGCTCTCCTTGTAGGCGTCGCCTACCAATTTATAGTTATTGTTCTTCATAAGCAGAGCGTGGACTCTTTCTGCCATGTTTATATCCTAAAACATTAACAAGGGTTTATTTTAATTAAGAAGAAAACTTCACGAGGAATTGAAGCGTCGTTGGCCTGATTCGTAAGACGGCCTATTTGTTTCATGTAGTAATTTAATTCGTCGTTGTCTAATAGATAAGACGTCCGGTGTACACATATCAAGCGGTGCGAATATGGTGGTGTTAGAATCTCGCAGACAGGTACCGATTTTATATCTAATGAAACATGTATTTAATACGTGCGCACGAATGATTTCTATGATCGAGGAATAACGTCGTGTAATAAAAATCATAAGTTGCAACTGCTTTGTGTGCAACTGTAAATACTTTGCGTAATGACTATCCAATTGAAACATTGATCTCAAGCGTCGAGGTGGATAGTAGCGTTCACGTTACGATAACTATGGGTTCCGGTACCCACATAACGTGGGGTCACTCGACATCGGTTGAGCCGTGAGCTCGATCATTCTTAAAAACTTGAATACCACCACAGTACGCTTTAAGTTTTAAGGTTGAAGTTTTAATCCGCGAGACGATTAATATTTTTCATATTATGTCTCATACACAGCTCACAGAATTAAAATTCTTCATGTAAGTAACGAGCGTTTTAATTTCACGCTGCCCTATTTTTCGTTACATTATTATTATTTTATTGCTCAGATGGGTGGACGAGCTCACACCCCACCTGGTTTTAAATGGTTACTGGAGCGCATAGACATCCACAACGTAAATGCGCCACCCACCTTGAGATATAAGTTCTAAGGTCTCAAGTATAGTTACAACGGCTGCCCCATCCTTCAAACCGAAACGCATTACTGCTTCACGGCAGAAATAGGCAGGGTGGTGGTACCTACCCGCGCGTACTCACAAGAGGTCCTACCACCAGTAAAATTAGATGTATGGACGAGCTGACGGCGCATCTGATGTTACGTGTTTATTAGAGCCTAAATCTAACGTCACCTGTAAATGATCACTGCACACGCCCATTGCAGTAATAAAGAAATTCGTGTCTGTTGGTTCATTCACTTCCAAATGCTGTCTGCTCTCCAAATCAGTGAGAATCTTCGATAGAATATTATTACGGGGCCCTCCTGAAATTGAATATATTAGTTAGATCTTTAATCATTGTATGTTATTAGTTGTCAATTTACTTATAATCGAATTTCTATATGAAAATGTTTTCTTTTTCTATTCTAAATTATAGTGCGTTTCCAAGAATAGGTCAATTAGAAAGTAATTTTCGTTTTTATTTGTTTACGAATATAGATAAATCAGTTGTCGTTAAGTCAGCAGTCTCAATTACAAATGTAGGAATGCTTCATCGCACAAAAGTACATAATTCTAGTATCGATTTGTAGGGGCATACAAACTAGTCCCACGCAGTAAGTATACTAATTTTCTTAGGTATATATATTTCCATTGATGTTTTCTCTTAATCGTGAAAGTCGTTTAAGCTACGACGTATTCAAGTCCATAACATAATCTTTTAAAAAGAATAAAGCCCTCTCAATCTCCAGGAATAATTTATGGTATAATACTCTCCTATGCGAAGTCCGGCTATACTGAACGAATGAGACCCTGTTACCCTCTGCTATGACTCTCGTTTAATGTGTGTGATACATGTGTTAAACATAATAATATATAGACCTCTATGTGAACGGCGCTATGACAGAGGCTTTCTCTGTAGTGCCAACAACAACTGTACCAAGTTTCATCAAAATTAAGAGAATGCCTTAGGAATGAATGCATACATAAAAAAAAACATTAATTTCAATCCTTATAAAATGAAATAATATCAATCGACAAAACTTTTAGTTAGAAAAAGCATATCTGCATCTCCAGAATTACATAAAAAAAATCTCATATTTTAAACTTCATCAATTCTCATCTTAAACTTCAGTGGAAGGCACAATTGTAAAGTATTTAGGTTACAACATGATTTCTGCATAGTGTTAAATATTGGCAATGACCATGTGAGTACTTACTTTCTTTACAGAACAAGCAGAGTAAATAATAATAAGCAGAGAGTCCAGGTTGGATGCCAAGCTCTCTAAATTCAGCAACTAATTGCATTGCCAAATTTTGTAACTGTATGCCGCCACCCCACACAGATATAGAACGGAGACAAGCACTCAATGTCTCAATATTTGGCGAGAGACCCTGGAACGTAAGGATATTAAAAAATATATCTATCTAATAACTCCATGCAAGATTCACATAAATAAAGTAGTTGATATAAATATAGATAAAGTTGAGAGAATGAACATGTATAAAGAAAGCGCTTATTCATTATTTAAGTAGGCAGAAGACAGTTAACATATTTATCACCAGGTTTTGAATTTTTCAGTAAGCCATAATATTAATGTTGTTCATATTATGCATTAATGTTAATATGAGCTACTGCAATTTATCTTGCAAGTGAAGATATTGTGCAATAGGATGCACAGTAGAAGTTGCATTTCCTGTCTCCTAAATTGTTACAGTAAGAGCGTTCATTGTTTTTTGCACAGTGGTGTCCAAAGTAACTGTATTCATTGCCAACCTCCACTAGGGTGGAAGGTTTGCTCTAGGTTTGGTAGCTTGTTCACAATGGCTTATTGTTATATTTTAAGCTATTTTACTTAAGTTTAATTGTCTCTACAGGTCACAAAAAGTTCAGTTATACAATGTGAAATAAAAGTTCAGTATAAATATACAACACAAACCTGTTCTTTCATTTGCATTAGTGTCGATTTAAGGGCTTCTATCCGTAACGTAGCACCTTCTCTCAAGAACCCTATACATCCCAGTAAAGCATTGTATACCCCAGTTGACAATGGTATGCCCTTTTCAATTGCTTCCTGAGATAGTTCATAAGCTCTTTCTGCCTGTATCAATTAATTTTTAATTTCAAGCTATTGCATTAATATAGTCAAATAGCACATAAATAAAATGTTGATGAATAACATGAAGATGTAAAGTTTCATAGTCAGTCAGTTTCATAGTAAAGCTAAGGTCATATCACCATTTAGAACAGTCTCATTATTCAGAACGTGGGATAAAGCCGTTTATGTATAATAGTTTTAGTTATGTATAAGAATCGAAACCAATGAAAATATTAAGTTTTAGATTTATAGTTACAAAATTTGAAGTGCATTTCTGACTCATGAAACCCCTGAAAATACTACATGTTACCAATCACACATGCACAATGCACATAATAAGCACATGCTTTACGTAATTGGAATCTTCCTTTTTAAATATTCAATAATACTGTACCTGATAGTATTTTGCCATTCCTTGTATGATTGCACAGTATGCTTCTGGACTTTTTGGTTCCATTGATGTAAAAATTGTATCTGCCAAACTTCCCAATCTGGAATTATGTTACTTTGTTTCAGATTTACATTGTGTTAGATATGTTTCGTAAATTACATAATAAAGTTCATATCGGCATAAATAAATAAAAAATTACATGTGTGCAATTCACATGTGGTAGAAGTGAAACCTTCCAAAATTAAAATACAATGATCCTAAACGTCTTAAGTATATGTAAAATTTTGTCATTAGTAAATAATTGTAAGGTAGCGCCCTCTGTGAATTGATATTTTAATTTCACGTATAATCCTAAATTAAAATTCACTACAAGAGCTTTCATACACACGTTAGTATTAAAAAATCTCACAGATGGCGCTGTATTAAATAGTATGTATATTTCTGTCTCATTCTTTGCTGGCTTCATCCTACACATTTTTGTATTTGTGTCTCTTACCTGTCGTTTTTTCCGTTGCATCCGGTTTGAAATCACAACGATTCTAAAGAAGTTTTCACTTCAATAAAAGAAAAAGAAACTTCAATAACTCAATAATTTTTCTTTTTTTACCTCCAAGTAGCAGCTTGTCGTTCTCTAGTGTTTGCTGAAAACCATCTCTCCTCTAACCATTCCACAGAATCAGGCTCCTTTTCATTATAGAAACACAGAAGTTGCAACAACTGCAGTTTTAGTTCATCACTCACTCCTTGACTCCCGCCAAGTAACTGATATACTTTAATTGAGTCTTCAATGAGAGCATTTCGGATTGTATATATTAGATCTTCTTCAGTTACCTGAAGAAGTAATAATAATGTATTACCTTTTTTATTTTTATTTGTGTATAATTTTACTCTATTAAAGATGTTTCCTAATGTTAGTAGTTTCAACAACAGTTCTGTTAATAAGTATGTAAGTATATTATGCACTCGGACATGATAAACAAAGTGAAACCATGCCACCTAGTGTATATAGACCGCAACTACTCGTCAAACATTAGCTCGCTTCGGGTGATGTGCATCGGCAAAGTCGAGATGTCATCATAAGGATTGAATCAAAAGACATGTTGCTCATGACTTAGGAAATGTGAAGACCTCTTGGAACTGTCATACTGTTCTGTTCAGTGCATTGCTATTTTTTTATTTTACAAGCTCTTCTACATAGTCATATCTATTAAAATTTACTTTTGTGATTGAAACAGAATATCATTGTAAGACTACTCACAGTAATTCTGCAACTAGTACAAGAAATTAAGACATGACAAATTTGTTCTTTTCCTTTTCCTGATATGATCCTGATGATTCCTGAATATGATTATTCAGAAAATTTATCTTACCTTGCTTTCGTCATTATAAATCGGTTTGGGCGAGAAAGCTTCAATTTTCGGATCAGCATTATAGTAAGGTGTTTTTTTCCTTAGCGGTGGATCCCAGATTCTTGTTGTAAACAAATCTGCATGTTCATCTCTAATCCATATTGCTGCTTTTCGACCAGCTTCAGCTGCCAGTGCATAAGCTCTCTTACGATAATTTGATAATGGTATTAAATATGGATCATCATGGTACCTGTAAATAGTTCTTTTTGTTTTAACAATGTATGGAGATATTAAAAAAAATATGCGATATTTGTTGAAGTTTTTCTACTTTTTTCTGTAACTAATACTAATATAATACATGTAGCAACCACTTTGAGATAGCATCAGCTTGTTACTTTTTCTGCTTTTAACTCTAAAATTCATTAGCATTTTTGTAGGTTTCATTTCAAATCAATAATGCCATATAAATACATACAATACAAACAATACTGTAATAAATGGTAATTGTTCTTCTTTTTGCAAATGGTACAAGGTTTTTAGCGTATTGTAAGTAGGCTAAATAATAAAATCCTTTTGATAAGAGATTTTAATGCCTCCCCGTTCTAGTCATCTTTTTAAAGCTGTGCATAGACTGCAAAACTCCATATCTATTTCATATTAAAAGTTTTAAGAGCCCATTAACATGAAAATGTGAATACCACTTTATTGTATCTGTGATTAAAATGTAATGGTATTCTTATATAACAGATTTCTTACCTTCTAAGCCTAAATTTATGCAAGAAATAGACAGGTACCTATTCATATGCCACTGTCCCAATACACTGAACCAATATTAGTTGCAATAAAACTAAAAAACTTACTGTTTAAGGTACATGATATTATCCCTGTATCAGGGAAGTTAGTTATGAATATATGTAAGGTATTTACTTAGAATTGGTACTTGTCTTGCCCTTCACTTGATACAAGTATGCCAGACAGCTTCTCTGTTGAGTTTCAACATTATCAAAATAGTACTGTTTTATGTATTACTGTATGAGCATTTCTAGTTTGGCAATGTTTTACTTACTTACAATGGTTTTGTATCCTGAGCAGATTCTAAACTTATCTTTTAACAAATATCGAGGTACTGTAAATGTAATAAATAGCGCAGAAAAATTGCAGTACTAACTTGTAATGTGCAGCTGTAGGATCAATTCCAACAGTGGTGGACAAAGCTTGAAGTATATCAGTTGGCCCTCTTTGTATGCGAACCGGTGGTGATATACCATCACTAGAGGCACCACTTTGTGGAGTTTTCTGACTTTCGATACTTACCAAGGATCGACATAAACATTTTATTTTTGAAATCTGTCTGTAATCAGACAATTTACCAAATATTGTTATAGAAAATTTACAATTCCAGGACACACTTAAAATTTTATAACCTTTCATTTACATTGCTTACCTCGTAATTACTATATTGGAATACATCTTACTATTGAAAGTTTATTGGTTCAGTAAAGATAATTTAAAATGAAAGTAGAAATCATGAATTATTAATAATAAAGCACTATTCTAAGAAATTAAAAACAATCAACAATGCGAAAAGTCTACAATATGTAGCAGTTCCATTTTTTCAACACGAAAGGCAAAGGTATCACATCATAAAGTCCAATCTTTCATATTTTTTCTGTTCCATGAAAACTGGGCCGAAAAATTTTAAGAATGAAATAAGGTGAATTTAATTTATTTGAGAGTGTAAAGAATTAGGATGAAATTAAATGAAACCAGTCCCGAAAAGTCTATACTACATTTTTTTCTATTCTAGAGATGGGTGGACGATCTCACAGCCCACCTGGTGTTAAGTGGTTACTGGAGCCCATAGACATCCACAACGTAAACGCCGCCGCCGCCACCCACCCTGAGATATGAGCTCTAAGGTCTCAGTATAGTTACAACGGTTACCCCAACCTTCAAGCCGAAACGCATTATTGCTTCACGACAGAAATAGGCAGGGTGGTGGTACCTACCTACCACCAGTAATTACGCAAATTATAATATCATTTTGCGGGTTTGATTTTTATTACATGATGTTATTCCTTCACCATGGAAGACAATCGTGAACAATTGTTAAGTACGTATTTCATTAGAAAAAATGGTATTGTCTATTTAAAGTAGCGGTCGGGGAACTTTTTTAATTATTACCCCAAAATGTTTTTGTGTAAGTTGACATTACCCCATGGCGAAAAACAAAAAAAAAGAAATCGCTTCTTTTTAGCATCTTTCATATTATGGCCCCCATGATAATTTTGAAAAGAAAACAATAAATAAATTTAATTTAAACGTCATTTATTCAATTTATCAATGTAATACCTAGTAATACATAACGGTAATAATAGTAATATATGTAATAAACAGTTGAGGAAAAAAAATCGCCCCCACAGAAAATATAAGTAAATGATAATTTCTTGTTATTTTATAATTCATATGATATTTTTCTTGTATTATTAAACGAAAAAACAGGTTTAAATTTTATATATAGCCCCCATAAAAAAGCTTATTTAATTTAAATGATTTTTTTCGGGGAAAAAAAAATATTATTATATTTTTTTGTTTAAAAATATTATTTTTTCGTTTCGTTTCATTTCGTTTCATCGAGTTTGAAATCACAACGATTCTAAATAAGTTTCACTTCAATATATACTTTTTACTCACAAAAGTTTCATTTTTACCCCCAAAATTTCATTTTACCCCATTTGGGGTAATTTACCCCGGTTCCCCGACCGCTGATCTATAGGCTCCATCTCTTAAAATGGGCATGGCCGTGATCTTGTTCATATAAGTACATAGCTTAAATAGTTTGATTGTTTTGGATTGAAATACCTAAGTTGAATCAAATTTTAAATAATATGGGTTTTGCAAAGCTAACGTGTATTGTTTCTGAACAGTTGGATGCATTGACCTCTAATATCTATTTAGTCTGTGCCAAAGAATACTGTTTTTGTACTGTAACGGTTAGACTTTTTGGTGGGAACAGGAGGAGCGAAGTTGAGTGAATTTTTATAATTTGATAATTTAGTGTTTCTTTAAATTTAAAGTTGTCACAATGGTGGTTTATTAACTGTTTAGTATCTGTGAAAGTTCACAAAAGTGGGAAAATGAAACCAAGCCGCTGGACGTAGCTTCTCGGGATCGTACAAAGTGTCTACTGAAAAAAATTCATTAAATAATCACCGTTTCACTGAGACTTTCATTTTGTATCATCTCGTTTCATTTAATTTTATCCTAATTAATTAATGTTTTAAAGTATTAAATTTTATTACATTTCGCCCCACATCATTTTCTAAAAATCAGAAAGTACAGAAGAACAAGCTGTATAGTACGATCTTTGTTTTTCGTCGCCCTAAGCACGTCATTACGGATCCTCTCGGTCCATTAACGGTGCTTTAGGTACCTCAAGCACCGGTCACCGTGCTCGCCGAACCCGTCGTTTTCGACGAAGAGTGAATTAGACCCATACACACACCCCACTGAGTTTCTCGCCTTCTCGTCGGATCTTCTCAGTGGGTCGCGTTTCCGATCTGGTGGTGGATCCTGCGAAGCACTGCCCTTGCTAGGGCTAGTGCTTGCAACGTCATCAGACTTGAGCCCCGTGAACTCACCTGCTCGCTCGGTGAATCTAGAATAACCCCTCGAGGTTACTAGAATAGGTTGGAAAAAAACATGACAGCATTGACAAAATGAGTGACAGATTTTATGCCGGTACCTACCTAGTTCCTCTTTCCAATAAGAAAGGCGAAGATATCATTTCATAAAACCCAATCCTTTATCTTATTATATTCTTCTATATTTGTTATTTTATTCATGAAATGAGGTGAAGTTGGTTTATTTGAGACTGCAATCATTTGGGACGAAAATAAATTAAACGGGATCTGATGATATGAAATAAAGTTCCAAGTGAAATGGTGGATACATAATTACAAAGATTTTAGTAGAATTTTTGGAAGAACCGGAGAAGCCAAGTCCAGTTACAGTTTCATATTCCCACATTTGTGGACTTTCGCAGATGCTAAGTCGTTAGTAAACCGCCGTTATTACACGTTTAGGCCAGAGGAAATATTATATTAACAGAATAAAAAATTCTCACTAGTTCCCTCCACACGTTCCCGCCAAAAAGTTGCGGATAACATTGCATTTTATCTAAATAATTTTTTTAAACTTTGATTTACAACATAAAAGAGGTGTAGGCCATATACCACAAATAAAATCAAAATATAATATTAATATTTCACTCATAATTTATCGAAAGAACGAATAATTAGAATTTTTTGGGTTACACGCGAAGTGCAAACTGCGTAGTGTGAATTATTTTATTTTTTGTATTTTTGTTTCCGTCGGGTTTAAATGTGTATTAATTAGTGTTTTATTAACTGATTAATAACTGTAAAAGTACATAAGTCTGGGAATATGAAACCAAAGTTGATTTTGCGTCTTGAATTCTTCCAAAAAGTCCACAGAAGCTTCATTAAGTTTTTATCCTTTTACCGGCACATTATTTCATAATATTAAAGTTCGACCCAATTTATTGCAATTTCAGATAATTTATTTTGTTACATTTGGCCGTATTGAAATGTTCATGCAACAAAATAATCATGTTAAAATTAAAGATTTCTAAAGTTGGTGCTGGCAACAATTGCATCGTAAAAGCCTATTGACGTGCTCAACAGAAGAAAAAAGAAGTCGAACTAGAAGAAAAAGGAAAAAGAGTACACAGGACTTGAGTATAAGAAAAATTTATTAATATAATAACAAAGCTATCGTTAAACATACAAATCCATTTTGGATGTATCTAACATTAATTTTGAAGGCCCCGTTGAAAGTAAAATTTCGAGAATCTTTAAACACTTCCTCTGTGTACAAATCCGTTTGATCACTACTTTTAATGTTACACTTGTATGAGTTTACGTGAACGCATAACCCATCCTCTGGATTGAAAACAGTATTCATTGGACACTTTACCAATCTGGCTGTCGCCAAGCCATTTATCGCTTCAACGCAAGCAATGTATGATGTGCAGCTTTCACTCGCGAAGTAACCCCTACTCGTGCAATTGTAAGATTCGTGGCAAGAGTAACTGGTGATATTTGTGCATTGTTGCTCTTTATGGCTGTAAACGAAGCCTATGGGGCACGTTAGTCGGTATTGGGTAAAATTATTCGCTCCTCCCATCAGACACATAGTGTATCCACGACAGTCTTCAACATCGTTGTTTGGATATCTTCCACGGGCAGTACATAGCGATGTTTGGCTGACACTTTCACATAATCCCTGCAATTATATAATTAAAATTTATCAGACTTACTGCCATCTTTATGGTTGACATAATGTTTGTAGAGTGATCTAAAAATATAGCGGTTCTTCGTAGCACAAAGCGGGATTATACGATAATTCTATTTGGAACATTTCCAAGTACGGAGAGTATTTGTTACTGTTAAATATTTTTTATTCCCTTTTAATTAAAGCACGTTCATTTCGCGTATTCAATAGCAAAAGGCATTTACATTTGAACCGAAAAATGAACGGCTGCCGGAATGTTTGTTTGTCTTATCTAAGAAATGTAGTGTTCTTAAAAATTCTTTCACCTGTATCACTCATGCGCACATGTCAGCGTCCCTAACACCCAAATTATCGAAAATAAATTTGCAAATACGGCGAATAAAAATGTCTAATTAACCATAATCGAGTTGTTCCGAAAACAGTTGAAGTCCAATATATTTTAATACCTATACATTTCATTTTATGTATAATATAACTAGTTAAATTAATGATGCAAAGACATTTACATTAATTATTTTCTACTAACCAAGGTTTCCTACCATACTAAGTATGCTTAGCATAATAAGTTTTGCTTTTACCAACAAATCAGTTCTGGGCTTTAGAAAACTGTAACTCACCATTAGAACTACGCATTTCAACAATTTATTCATCCTTTATATTCACATGCACTCTGTACTTTGTTTAACAAGTCTCACGCAGTTTTAAATCTTATCTTTTACCTTTAGACCTTTTTTTGTGTAATATGTACTCGACGCTTTCGTATCACTACTAATATGATAGACGCGACTGAGATGTTTCTTGCTGTGTCCTGATTTTAGTGTTGTGTGTTAAATAAATTATAATCTGAATGTCGATACTTTTTACGTTATCGTTGAATAGTTGTACTGAATAGCTGACTACTATTGTCGACCAACGTTTATCCTGATTTGTGGATGGAAAAATAGACTGAGCAGTTCCTTTGATGTCCAGATTCATTTGAAACATTGAGTCGTTTGGTATTATTAATATTGAACTACTTCGCGTATTCATCGCGATCGCGTTATTCAATGCTAATATTATTATATTTATTAAATATGTACTAGATTAACTGGTGGTAGGACCTCTTGTGAGTACGCGCGGGTAGGTACCACCGCACTGCCTATTTCTGCCGTGAAGCAGTAATGCGTTTCGGTTTGAAGGGTGGGGCAGCCGTTGTAACTATACTGAGATCTTAGAACTTATATCTCAAGGTGGGTGGCGCATTGACGTTGTAGATGTCCATGGGCTCCAGTAACCACTAAACACTAGGTGGGCTGGGAACTCGTCCACCCATCTAAGCAATAAAAATAAAATAAAAAGATTTTAAATAGTATTTTTTTCATGTACTAGATAGATGCATAATTTTATTATATTGGCATTAAGAGGTTACCGTAGTTTATCGACCATACACAAGCACCACCCACTTTGGGACATTAGGTACTTATAAAGTACCACTCGTATTTTACAATAATTTGTCGATAAACGGCCATCCCTACGTTTACTCAAGATAAAGTGATAATTTTGTTTAATTAGTTCTCAAGATTTTCTTAGATTCATTGTAATCATTACCCTTACATACAAGTATCACATTTTTCTTTGAACTAAGATATTTTAAATATTTTGTTGTCGTGGTGGCCTAAAAAATAAAACGTCCTGTGCATTCGTATCAAGCGATGCGGCTGTGCCGGTGTTCGAATCCCGCAGGCTGGTACCAATTTTTGTAAATTGAAAACGTACATAATGGATGTTCACGATTGGCTTTCACGGTGAAGGAATAACGTCGTGTAATAGAAATGAAACCCCTAAAATTATAATTTGCGTAATCACGGGTGGTAGGAGGTCTTGTGAGTCGGCACGGGTGGATACCACCACCCTGCCTATTTTTGCCGTGAATCAGTAATGCGTTTTTGACAGCCGTCGTACTATGAACACTGAGACCTTAGAACTCATCTCTCAAGGTGGTTGGCGGCATTTACGTTGTAGATGTCTATGCTCTTCGGTGACCACTTAAATTGCACCAAATGGGGCGTGAGATCGTCCGTCCACCTATCGATGCAATAAATAAAAATATCGGTATCAGAAATACGTTAATTCAGACAATATACAGAGTAAGTAGAACATTAAACCTCGATGTAAAACGAGTTCACATAATACAGTCATATAAATAAAAATATTTATTTATTGATTGTTTCTGAAAGGCGACAAAGTCAGACAAGCAAATAATCCATTTTGTGGCATTTTTTAAACCAAAGAATCTCTCTATCTGAAAGCTGATGGTGGGTGAAGGAAGAAGAAATGGATGGATTGCGCGAAAGACGATAATATGGGTAAGAGAGGAGTGGTCGAAGAAATGGTATATGATAAAAGGGTATGGAAGGAGAAAACATGTTGCGCCGACCCCAGGTGACTGGGAGAAGGGCAGATAATGATGATGATTAATTGATTACGTATTACTTTCACACCTAATGTCATAAATGCACAAAAATCATATATTAATTATAGCTAACCTGTTTCTTTTAAAAAAAATCTTTCACTAACGCTAATAGCGAATCTCGTAGGTATCAACGTTTCTTATCTTAAAATACATTCTCGTTACGAAAACACCATACTGTGTGTGCCTGATTCAAATCCTTATGACTGTTGGAAAATTGCACGGCACCTTTGATGATTGTTGACTCATTAGTTTAAACTGAAATAATGTCGTTTATGCTGTATAGATTAATAGAAGATTATGGTTTAACTAGTTTATTGGTGCAATAGTAATGCAAACAGACGCAGACACAGTAAACTTGTGAATATTAAATTAACTAGGTTTCACACGAGGCTTTACCCGCTTTAATGTAGAAAAAAAAATCTCAGAAAAAAATCCATTAAGAAAGTTGGTACAATTTTTCTATATCCTTGACAACGTGTATGTAAAACTTCAAAATGATCGCTTGAGTATTTATGACGTAAAAGCGTAACAAGCAAACAAACTTACTTTTGTGTTTATGATTTAATATAAATTATCTATCTAGAAGCTACTTCTCTAATTTTCATTTTATGTAAATATATTACAATGCTTGCTTTACAAACAATTACTGACTTTATGGAATACATTTTTTCTGTTATAAAAATTCTAAAGAAAAAATCTATTCCCAAAAATATATTGACAGAACAGTAAAACTCTGTTAGATTCTCGTAGCTACCAAATTTAAACAAATAGAGATAATCGATTGTAAATTAAGCTAAATAAAAGTAATAATTAAGCGGTTATTTTTTAATTGGATGCAACTTTTGTAGATATCAAAGACATTCAAAGTCGCTGATTTTTGGGACAGAACGGTTTTGAATATCCAGTAACATAATACGGCTAATAGGTATGAGGGTGGTATCCACCAGGTCTTAATAATATTTATTTATACTATTTAGTATAATATCAATGCCTAAGATACCAAGTGAATTCGACAATTTCAGCACGTTCTTGGCAATTTCTTTAACTGTTTTGGAAGTAGCAACATTTCTCCTAAAGTAGCAACGTTTGATGTTTGGGCTTGTGGCATATGGTATTGCACTTGTAAGACTCCGTAGGACTAATTCTGATTTTTTGATTGCTTTACAAACTGCTTGATGAATAAGAATTAAAAGTATGGCCTTTCAAATATACTCGAGATTCTGATCGTGTTGCGTCTCAAGGTGGATTGGGAATATTTATTAGTATGCACTGCTAGCTCAGTTAGCTGTGGATAGCTAATTTGAAGATTACAAGTATACAATTTGCAGATTATTTTGTTGTTTTTCAATAAAATAAAATAGTAGATAGATAGATAGCGGCTCGCTTCAGCTTAAAAAAAATAATTAACTACTATTCATAGGGTTCTCGCAACTTTGTGCAAAAACCTTAACTATTGATATCGGAAAGTAATTGTGTTTGTACTGGATAAAATAATGAGAAATCCGGGAAGAACATTTTTTCTAATATTTAAAATTCTGAGCATAATGCGATTACTGAAGAAATTTTAAGCTATCCGTTAATCACGATTATCACAATTGTCATGATAATGACGCTGTTAAAGTTAGCTGAGTAATCGTCGTGGATTATAGGGATGTGTTTTCATCATCTTTTCCTGTTAATACATGTATAAAACTGATGCGTTTTGTAAATTTTATTGAGAAGGCAAAAATGAAACGAAAGGCTGGCATAGTTTTAATACTCGTGAGTTGTTGATTTGATGTATACCTATATGAACCAAGAAATTTTACGTGTCTATATAATATAATATAATATTTCTAACTACTTACTGGTGGTAGGACCTGTTGTGAGTCTGCGCGGGTAGGTACCACCACCCCGCCTATTTCTGCCGTGAAGCAGTAATGCGTTTCGGTTTGAACGGCGGCGCAGCCGTTGTAACTATACTCGAGACCTTAGAACTTATATCTCAAGGTGCGTGGCGCATTTACGTTGTAGATGTCTATGGGCTCCAGTAACCACTTAACACCAGGTGGGCTGTGAGCTCGTCCACCCATTTAAGAAAAAACTACTATTAAATTTAAAAATACTAAATTTCAATAAACAAATGCTGTTAACTAAACGAATAAACAATAAACGTGAAATATTTTTCAGGTTTTCTGTTGCGTTTGGCAAGTTCAGGCAGCCGTCAACTGTACGGAGACTGGCGCAGGCAGATTTGCCGATGACGATGACACGACTTGCCAAAACTACACGCTTTGCGTTTATGATACTACGACTTTAGATTATTTGTTCTACAACTATCAATGTCCATCGACGTCTGTGTTCAATCCGAACATTGCAATGTGTACCGATCCTGCCAACTACGTATGCAATGTAACGACCGCAAATACTACCGTTTGTACCGAAGACGGGTACATCGCCGATCCGAGCTCCACAAACTGTTCCAGTTACATCGAATGCGTAGGAATAAATGGTACATTCACAGAAACCACATACACTTGTCCGGATAATACTTTTTACGATCCAAACACGACCCTTTGCGAGTCGAATTACACATGTACCAGTAATTCGCCTAGCAATAATACAACTGAAACTTTCACTTGTTCCGGGGCCGGAAGATTCGCAGACACTACGGACACTACTTGTCAAACTTACTATTATTGTGTGCTGGCCTCAAACGGAACATACGTACAATACGAATATACTTGTCCCACTACGTCTGTGTTTAATCCAAATACTAGGGTTTGTACAACTAGTTACACGTGTACAATAACCTACCGGTAACTTCTTGGATGACGATCATAATTATCACAGCTTTACTTAGAATAAATATATAATAAATTGTCATGGTGATGGATTAATAAATTTAATTTATATGGCTCATGCTATAAGTATCTTGATTCACAGTGTTGGAGAAGAGTTTTCAATTGAAAAAACGCAGAGAAAACATATACAGCAATTGGTTCTCTGGTTCTTGTATTTATAATTTAATTAAATATTCATTCGTTTAAATTATTACACTTTTGCAAAATTTGACAAGTGTAATACTTTTTTTTAATTAAAATTTTTGGTTTTAATTCTCATCTATGTGCATTTTATTTTAATTGAAACTTTGAACGTAAGAAATTAAAATCTTCGCCATTTATCAGTATTTTTCTGAAATCTTTTTATTTGACTTCTTCCTTTGATCGATTTTCTTTTTATTCTTTCTCTTGGTCTAAAGTTAATTTGTTGCAATAGCGCGGAAACCAGGCTCCTTGCTGTTTCCAGATTTTGCGCAGAAGTATCTTCACCGCAATTATTATGGATATTATTTATTCTAGATACATTTGTGTATGCCGGTACTATAGGAAATAATTCACCAATACTCAGTGTAGGTTTCATAGTTGCATTAAAGATCCGAAAGTATGTTTCCCTTGCTTTATTGATTTCTTCTTGTGATATTTTACCTTTTTGATGGTTTATAATAGACGAACTATAAGGATTTGTGAAGTTACTACCTTTGTAAGATGTCTTTGGTTTATTTATCAAGTTATTTTCGTTGTTGTTAGTCTCACTGACATGTCGAGTTTCATTATTGTCGTTAAAATCCGGAACAGCGATGACCAGGTAAGCGCTTTCATTGATTCGATGAACTTGATACGTTTTAAAACAAAACGTTAGACACGTAAACGAACTGAGTATAAATTTGACTAACAAAATATACTTTGGAGTTGAATAAAGCATTTAAAAACATTGCGAAGATGACACTGATTATTTTATTCTCTTTGAACAGATGACAAGTGTAATTTGACATGCTAAATGAGACATACTGTTTTGTATATATGATAGTTAACAGAATGAAGGTTCTGACAAAGAATTAAAAGTAATGAATGAAGTATATATATATACTAGCTGACCCGGCAAACGGTGTCTTGCCATATATAAGATTTCTAGAGAATTTCTAAAATACTAACTTATTGGAAGTGTATAAGGATGTGGAATATGAGTGAAAAAGGCCTGGAGCGCTGGGAACGATGAGGGAATGTTGTTTAAAAATAACAAAATACCAAACATTAATTGTTTTAATTTATTAAAAGTAATAATTATATATATAATTAATTCATTACATAATATTAATCTCTTAACGCTGCAGCGTGACCAATATTTTTTGTTAGCCCGCTTAAATTGAATTGGCACATCTGTGGGTATATAGGTATTCGTGGTATCAATATATTTTCACCTCGAAACTTGCCATTTAAAATGGTGCCTTCGATAACTTTTTTTAATTTTTTTTTAATGTCTAATCGCGTACCTTTGCATAGCCGTGGCGGGTTCAAATTACGAAGCAAAATAATTGGAGATCCAACCTTCAATTGTAATTTATGTGGTGGCATGCCTGGCAAATCCAGTGAGTTCAAAAACTCTGTTGGAAAATTTACAGCTTCAGTGCCATCGCAAACTGTATCAATAGATCTATATGATACCAAGTCNGAAAAAGAAGAAGAGGGCGCCCTAGAAAAAGATGGATAGACGATATAAAAGCGATAGCAGGAAGCGATTGGATAAGGAAAGCCATGGACAAAGTGATTTGGAAGAAGCTGGAGGAGGCCTTTACCCGAGAAGGGGTTCCGATCATTGATACAGGAGAAAGCAACGTTAGCGAATAAAAGAAAATTAAAGAAATTCTACCCTACTATATTTAGATATTAAATCGCATGTAATATATTATCATTATGGATTGGAAATAAACAGGCTTTATTATTATTATGGGTCTGTGCTTTTTTTCCCTACCTATACTGATAGCCTTGCGAGTCTATATCAGCCTAACCCTAGCGTGTAGGTGAGCTCTCGGAGCTCAAGCCGGAGGTGTTGCTAACAATGGTCGTAGCAAGAGCAGTGATTCGCAAAATCTACTACCGGATCGGAGACGAGACCCACTGAGAAGATCCGGCGAGAAACTCAATGGGCTTTGTCTGTGGGTTAATTTACTCGCCGAGCCCTTCGTTGCAAGCGACGGATTCGGCGAGGATCGTGACCAAGGTCTGTGCTACTATTCTCATACAGAATCAGTTATGCGTTCCGATTCGAAGAGTTCAAAAAGCCGTTATACAGAAACAAAATTACGATATGTCTCAAGGTGAGCGCGTAAATTTACAATCTGATATCTATGGACTTAATTTTAGGGTATCATGAACTCGTCCACAAAAAAATAAACCAAACGTACATATTTGGTAGATTCCGCAGCTGCAAGATATGATTTAGTCATATGCTAGAAACACATTCTCAGATCTCTTTTTTTTAATACTGGGGAATTCATTTACGGATACCGGTTGAAGGGGGTAACAGACTGGTATATATCGGACTCTGGCGACTCCAGAGGAGGGAAACAGGGTTGTTCTCCTCCCGAACATTACGTCTTGAAAAAGATGCATGAAGTGGCGTGCAGCGCGAACCACACAAGACTGGCCCCATAGGACAACTATCGACTAAGCCCCATCGAATCCCACTACAACAGTTAGACGAAACCTATGGTACTGCATAGTGCGCCTACCTGAAAATCTGCCTTCGCCGGTAACAATCTAGATGGTATGACGGGATTTCATATCCGGGAATCCAGAGATTCAGAAACACGTCATTTAGGGTCGCCTCACCATCGAATCTATGTCGTGCACTGGCCACCCTCGATCCAGCACTCAGCTGCTCCTACGGGAGCTGAGCGAACGTGCTGCGACCGCTATGTTCTTATCTATGCTGTGCTTATATCTTTTATGAAGATACTGACTCCAAACCAGCATTATAGAATGATATCAACTACTAACTACTACATTTTCTCAACCAGACTATCGAATATCAAGTATAAATCCTAAATTTATTTATATATTATAATATAAATGACGACTTAGATTATTGCTATGTGCGAAAATCACCAAATCCTATGAAAAACAATGTAGGGGTATACCGGTGGTAAGACCTCTTGTGAGTCTGTGAGTCCGTGCAGCTAGGCACCACCATCCTGCCTATTTCTGCCGTGAAGCAGTAATGCGTTTCTGTTTGAAGGGTGGGGCAGCCGTCGTAACTATACTTGAGACCTTAGAACTTATATATCAAGGTGGGTGGCGCATTTAAAAAAAAAAGGGGGCACTGTATCGGTAATATCTATTACACAGAGGTTTCCAGAAATTCAATTCCTCACGGGAAAAGGTGAGTGAAAATCACTACCTAGCTATTTCCAATATGTAAGCGGCGTAGCAGTAAGTCTTGATTCCCCAAAACTAATTTGATTACAAAGTGGTCAATCATTTTCATGTAAAAAGTAACATATAATAGCCGACTTAACCTAATAAGTGTATGGCTCTAATAAAGAATGAAAAAAAAGTAACATAGCATCGAAAATATGAATATCTTATTATAGCTTAAATTAAATCAATCTATCAAATCAAACAGTAAAACTTGATAAAAATCCTGACTAAAATAAATAAAATAAGTAAACATAATTGAAAGCACTTTTATGATTAAATTTTACGTCTACCATTTTCATTTTATTATTTTCAAAACTTCAAATGTTTTACAATCTTTAAAAAAATAGTAGTGAGCACAGTATTCCACGTGAATAAAATGTTTCAATCACAATCATTATTTTTTTGTTTTCAATTGTTAAGTACACGACGATTAATTCGCCTAATGGTTGGTCAGAAATAGATCGCTCTTAGTAATAAGACCGCNTTAATTTTACGTCTACCATTTTCATTTTATTATTTTCAAAACTTCAAATGTTTTACAATCTTTAAAAAAATAGTAGTGAGCACAGTATTCCACGTGAATAAAATGTTTCAATCACAATCATTATTTTTTTGTTTTCAATTGTTAAGTACACGACGATTAATTCGCCTAATGGTTGGTCAGAAATAGATCGCTCTTAGTAATAAGACCGCCCGTTGTACTTTTTGTGCTTAGTCTTATACATCTGTATTGATTTTATATTTATGTTAAATAAAGTATATTTACACTGTGAAATATATATGTATAATTGAAAAGTTCAGTTAATCAAAAGCTATATATTTTCCAGTGGACTTTCATATTCATCAGAATTCCCACATTATCCACCTACACATTTCATTGTAACATGGCCAAGTTTAAGTTGACTCAGATGCTAGTGAATCACTGGCATAAAGTATGGAATTAGTTTGTTTTGCAAAGATATAAAGTCGACTCCAGTAAGTTCCATTTGCAAACGAATCACGTGGGCTGGTGACCTATTCAAAGTACACAATTTGAAGGCTTCATATTCAGTGTTAGATTATATTTATTTATTTATTTATAACTTCATATACTAGAAAGTATAAAGGCGGACTTAATGCCATAGGCATTCTCTAACAGTCTACCTTGGGGGAGTGCAGAGATGAACCTTGGTAGGTGTAGTGTGAAGGTGATATTACTTAAACATGTGTATATGTAACATAGATAATATTTATAGATACAAATACTCGTACTTAGAAAAATATATATACATAAATACATACATATACATATCATAAATATATACATATAAAAACATATATAAACAAATATTATCAATTAGATGACTCTGCTAAATCTCTGAGAAACATTATACTACACAAGCAAAATTTAAGGTACCCTCTTCTCAACATTTAAGTATTTAACAGTAGCACCAAAGCACGGAGTGATCATTCTAGCCATTCTAGATCAAATTGATTAATTTTAAAAGTGTAGAAAGAAAAGTTTTGGTCAAATCTAGTGTAAAATCTACGCGGTCCAAATATCGCTGTGTCTCAAGACAAAAG